ACATTACCAAATCAGACAAACAAAAAAATAAATATTCAAACATGTAAACAAACTTGAGTTTTAGTAGTATATAGATAGATAGATATATGTCTATCCAACCACACCACATGCGTCATCACGTTCAATAGCTGCGCCATCAGGTTCAATAGCTGCGCCATCACATTCAATAGACGCACAATGTTTTTAGTCACGTAACACTATTGTAAATAAAACATGTGAAGTACTGAAAAAAAAATCATAAAAAAAAAACGTCGAACGTGATGGCGCAGCTATTGAACGTGATGACGCGTGTGGTGTGGTTGGATAAGCATGCCTATTAATTCGGTCCAAATTTTAATTAATTCATAAAAAAATTAATTACGCATCCAATTAAGTCAAATTTAGTTTCAGATTGCATTGTCTTCATGTCTTGACCCACGTGCCAACTGTGAATCGTATCGGTCAAGTAGAAGTGTCCGAATTTTCACTCCTGCGTTTCGATCTAGACTGACGACAGACAGACTGTCTACTGACGAGGAAGTGAGTAAAATAAAAGCTTGTAAAAAAAGGAGCAATAAGTCATGGAAGTGGTTTGAAGGTTCGGCTTTCACACTACAGCTTTTGTGTGCGGGAGCCGGACGTTTTCCCGAAAGACACTTGCTCGAATGCCGTTTGGCCGAGGTCCGATTTCCCAAATGGACACTTGCCCAACTGGCGGTAGGGTCATTCGGCCCCTGGTAACAACTGCCCACACACAAATACCAGCTACCACACGGACTTCATTAATTAATCAACGTCCTTTGTTATCATCAATCAAATGTAACGTTTGTCTAGTCACGTGTTAGCCACCAATCATATCAACGCCGCGACAACATCCACTTGAAGATTAATTTAATATTTGTCCAAAACTAAAAACAAAAATTTAATTACAAACGTCTGGCAACAAAAGACATTTAATAAAACAATCAATAGGAAGAAAACATTAAGAAAACAATTTTATAATTTATTGACTGTTTACAATATCACGACCAAAATAATCAAAATCCTTTTGCAGGAAATTCTTACTACTAAGTAAAGTAAACAAATAATCCAAAAGAGAAACATTACCATTAGACAAAGCTATATGAAACAGGTAACTAAAGAAAGAGGTAGAATCATATATATTGACAGGCCTCTATTGCATACAGCCCCTAGTTGGATGACCATAGACTTTAAGTCATAGCGTAAGCGCTAGGTTAGACCTCGATTTTATTTCTAAAAATACATCAACAATATAATTGAAGTATTTACTTTCTGTGTGTTTTTGAACCAACAATAGCTATGTAATAAGACGTACATTTGTTAACAATAGGATTGATAAGCTGGTTCCAACTGGTTGTTGCCAGAACGTATATTTTTCAACCAAAATTGAATATTTTATAACATTTGAGAAATAAGTATAAAATGACTACCGGTTTTAGTAATGCTACAACTATTCAAACAAATAATTACTAGTGATATAATCGTAATTTAGCTAACACTTATTTTTAATTTGGATTAGCAGAGTAAGGGTGTTGTGGTGATGTTTATTATTTAATAGAAATACAATACTAGGATGTACATCATAGATCACTATTGTGTATTTTATCATGGAAAACATTTTTTGTGACTTTCATTGTTAGACTTCAAAGAAGAGTTGAGAGCAGTTTTAAAACATATTCGTATTGATAAAATAATTCTAAACGGCTTTTCAACGGCGTTTATTAAATACAAAAATATGAAAATGAGTGTAATTGATGGTTTCCAAACGGCTTTAATTTAAAAAAAAAATTAACTAAAATTTTATCGCTTGCCATATTTTAAAAAAAAGATTTTAGTATTTTTTATTATGATTACATAAACTTTTCATACCACTTGTATTGTCGAAGCGTTTTAACTTTATTTCTACGTTTGGCAACTGCCGGAAGTAACGACCGTTTAACGAGGAAACTCACACACAGCCTGGTTGTCGTCTCCACAAAGCGACACCAACATCTTCCACTGGCGTACCTTCGACATCAGCACACATATATCGTCATCATGCTCTCGTAGCCCATCGTCCGCCCACACCAAGACCGGTGCTGTTTTCCCGCTGCGCCTGAATTTAAATTCTCCTGTTTGGACATCTCTGTAGATTCCGATGTAGACGTAGGTGATGTCGGTGTTGTTGTTGAGGTACGCCACCACGGCCGTGTATTCCTTGACGTCGTTGATCTCCACGAGGTAACCGCCGTAAAGCTGGCACAAATTCTCCGCGGCACCGATGTTACTGTTGCGGTTTCTGGAAACTGCGATGGTCGAGTTGTTGTGAAGGAAGCCTGGGCTAAACAGAAAATGTTGCACGTCTCTCTCTCTTTCCGTGTTGTACTGTCGTAGGTCCTGAAGCTCCTCTCGCGTTGTCTGGGTGATGTTGGTGAAGTCACGTGTTAGATTTTCCAGTTTTTCATTGGCCAGCTTCAAGTCTAGATCCAGTTGTTTTTCATTGGCCAGCTTCAAGTCTAGATCCAGTTGCAGGATCTTGTCCAGGAGCTGGTTATTACCCGGATGTGTGGCTGTGACGTCAGTTTCAGCAATCCAGTCGATGTTATGCCCAACCGCGTCTGGACCTTGAACAGTACACAAGTAGTGACCAGCCTGCGCTTCTGTTGGCTGGTCCCAGTGTAGTTCCAGAAAAGAGTGACCAGTATCTTGAACGGAACCGTTGGCCGTGAGACCCTCAGACGACAGGACGTTGACCTTTTGACCCAGAAACGTGACCACCGAGGCCAGGTCGGTGTAGGTGCTGGAACCGTTGGCAGCGCGGGATACGATGATGGACAAGATGGCGGACATGTTCGACTGGCTGCTCATGTTGACGTCACACCTAACGGTCAGTGACGTCGCACCCGGGTCTATTACACCAGGGTTGGCAGAGAGTTGAATTGCACCATCTGAAACAGGATAAAGTTGGTTCAGTCCCAATACGTCGAGTTATTTTAAAATCTCTTTAAAAACTATCGTGGAATACATCGTACTGATCTTTAAGGCAAAGTTAGGAATTAAAGTCTAATTAATTAAATCTGCAACCAAGTATTAACTTTTGTTACCCCAAGTTTTAAATCAAATACGTTTATAAAAAAACATAATTTATAATTTATAAGTACCTCCTGTCTGTATCTCAAATACAAAGTATAAAACTATTAAAAGTATTGATCTCATGATGAACACTAACTACCAATAGACACTCTTCTAGTTGACTGTAGCAAGATCTACCAGTACAAGAGAATATATAGGTCTACAAGACAATGGCGCGAACTAATGGACAATAAAGATAATTAATGTAGCGATATCGCTAATTGTGCTCACACAATACTAAACCATGATGTAGATTTCACAAACTGATATAGATATCAACTGATAAGTCTATATTTGGGTCAGTAGTCATTGATATTGTAAATGTGTTTTTATCGACTTATTGTTTCACGACTTATCACCATCTTCAGTACACCACCTCATTGTCCTATCAATTGATAAATTAATATGTGGGTTAACCTTCAGCGATTTTCAAAAGGTCTATTAATTTATGTGTGTGTGTGTGTATGCGTGTGAAGAGTTGGCTGTGGGTGTAGATGCAGATACAGATGTAGATGTAGATGTAAATGCAGATGTAGATCTAGATGAAGATGTAGATGTAGATGCAGATGTAGATGTAGATGTAGATGTAGATGTAGATGTAGATGTAGATGTAGATGTAGATGCAGATGTAGATGTAGATGTAGATATAGATGTAGATGTAGATGTAGATGTAGATGTAGATGTAGATGTAGATGTTGGATGTAGATGTAGATGTAGATGTAGATGTAGATGTAGATGTAGATGTAGATGTAGATGTAGATGTAGATGTAGATGTAGATGTAGATGTAGATGTAGATGTAAATGTAGATGTAGATGTAGATGTAGATGTAGATTTAGATGTAGATGTAGTAGTAGTTAAAGCTGTAGATGTAGATGTAGATGTAGATGTAGATGTAGATGTAGATGTAGATGTAGATGTAGATGTAGATGTAGATGTAGATGTAGATGTAGATGTAGATGTAGATGTAGATGTAGATGTAGATGTAGATGTAGATGTAGATGTAGATGTAGATGTAGATGTAGATGTAGATGTAGATGTAGATGTAGATGTAGATGTAGATGTAGATGTAGATGTAGATGTAGATGTAGATGTAGATGTAGATGTAGATGTAGATGTAGATGTAGATGTAGATGTAGATGTAGATGTGGGTGTGGGTGTGGGTGTGGGTGTGGGTATAGGTGTAGGTGTAGGTGTAGGTATTGGTGTAGGTGTAGGTATTGGTGTAGGTGTTGATGTAGGTGTGGGTAGGTGTGCGTATGCGTGTGCCTGTACGTGTACGGCAAAAACTTTAACCATAGCTTCAGGCTTCTGTACTCTAGCGGATGCTTAACATCTATGAGACACCACTAAAACAATTTAATTACAAATTTTTTTGTTTAAATTAACGGTTTTATATACCCACATATAAACAAATGTAAGTGTATGCAATGGTGGAGTACGCCTATATGTTAATAGGTGGACTGGCTTGGGGTAACTGTACAGAAACTACAATCTACTCAACTCTTCTCATAACATATCTCAAAGTCTAAACAATTTAAAACTACAATTGCCCAGTGGCGGAACTAGAAATAAAGGCCCTCCCCCTCATTATATATATATATATATATATATATATATATATATATATATATATATATATATATATATATATATATATATATATATATATATATCATGGGAAGTAACACTACCCAACAAGACAAACTGTAACTTTACCAACAGAACTTGACATGATAGTAAAGTGACTTTCTCTGTAGACTGTTGACCTTTGTAAAAGGCAATGAACTTTCTGAGACAGACGACAGTTTTAAGAAAAAAAATTGTGACATTTAAAATTGTTTAAACCCTCAAACAAAAAACGGGACGCTCTTTTTCTTTTCCGTCCCAGGTTTTAAGTCGCCCAAATGCCTTGACTGTCTGCACACGTTTTGTGAGCAATGCATTGACAACCACGTGCTGAATGAGTGCACCTACAAGAAGGTGAGTACATACATGTATGTTCTCATCGAATGCACATACAGAGAGAGGGAACATATATGCATGTTCTCAACTAATGCATATACAAGAATGTGAATACATTACATGCATGCCCTGAACGAATGTTCTAAGAAGTTGAGTACAGTGATGCATGTTCTGATAGATCAATGTAGAGACTTTCAGAATCTGAACGGCTAGTAGCCAAAACGAATGAAGCTCAAGACGCCTAGTGTCTAGCCAGAGGCCTAGCTAAAGGTCTAAAATATTTCATATCACTAAAACAAATAAGTTGTCTAAGTATGATATATTGTACATATTATACATTAGACCAATGGCAAAAATTATATACATTCCATTGAACTATTGCGTTTAGGTTTAGATAATATTGCTTAATATGTCAATATCTACATAGACATACAACACTTTAAATATAATATGATATACTAACACCTGTGAGGTCAAGAATATACATCCCATTTTTTAAAATAAATTAACAAAGTATTGTCTTCAAGATTAGAAATAAAGAAATAACCAAAATCAGAAATATTCATTCAATATTAGCTTTGAAGTAGTTCTAAAACTAAACAACCTTTAATTTCTAACAATCAAACTTTAACCTTTGACCTTTCAGTACTCTGACTACAGAGAGTTCACATGCCCCCTATGCCGCAAACGTACCCAGCTGCCCATCGGCGGTGTCAAGAAGCTGCCGGACAACTTCCTGGTGTCCAGTCTGGGGGAGGTGGTGGCCCGTCAGAAGCCCAGCAAGTTTCCGTTCTGCGACATCTGCAAGTTGGTCAACAGGAAGCATAGAGAGGCGACCAGCAAGTGTATCGACTGCAACAAGCTGCTGTGTAAGCAATGTGTGGACATGCACAAGGAGACAAAGGTGAGTGGATGGGTGGCTGGTGGCATATTCAGGGCATTGTACATTCAGGGCATTGGGCATTCAGGGCATTGGGCATTCAGGGCATTGGGCATTCAGGGCATTGGGCATTCAGGACACGGAGAGTTAGGACATTCAAAACCACAGTTTGTTTGAAGTGTATGTTGTATGTCTGATGTGTAAGCAATGTGTCGACATGCACAAGGAGACCAAGGTTAGTTGATGGGTGGCTGGTGGCATATTCAGGGCATTGGGCATTCAGGGCATGGCGAGTTAGGACATTAAGAACCATAGTTTGTTTTGACGTGTATGTGTGACTTGTATGTTGTATTTCTGATGTGTAAGCAATGTGTGGACATGCACAAGGAGACTAAGGTTAGTTGCTAGACGGGTAGGGGCATATTCAGGGCATATTCAGGGCATGGCAAGTTTGGACATTCAGAACTACAATTTGTCTGACGTGTATGTTGTATGTCTGGCGTGTATGTTGTATGTCTAACATCTACGTTGTATGTCTAACATCTATTTTGTATGTCTAACATCTATGTTGTATGTCCAACATCTATGTTGTATGTCTGACATCTATGTTGTATGTCTGACGTGTATGTTGTACGCCCAACATCTATGTTGTATGTCTAACAACTATGTTGTATCTCTACCACCCAGGTGACACAGAACCACAGCCTGTTTGACGTAGAGATCGAGAAAGACATCGAGTGCAAGGAGCATCAGGACGAGGTGGTCAGGTTTTATTGCGAGCCGTGCCAGACTTGCATCTGTGTGCTGTGCACGTTTAATGAGCACAAGGTGGGTACTCACAGTTACAACCAGTATATATATATATATATATATATATATATATATATATATATATATATATATATATATATATATATATATATATATATATATATATAATCTAGGCTCATGTATCTGTTGCCAATCTATATTGATATCTATCTCAGATATCCATATACCCATTATATATATATATATATATATATATATATATATATATATATATATATATATATATACGTATGTATCTATAGTGTGTGTGTGAGGTTGTGTATGAGAAACCATACACTTTTTCTTCAATTGATTATGTATCTGCTATGAACCTGAAACTGTATATTTTACCTACCTGCACTCCTACCCCCCACGCCCCCTAACAGGACCACGAGATAACACAGTTCAATGAGGCAGTCAGCAAGTACAAAGAGAACATTCAGGACCTGCTGGGCAGCTGTAAGGGCAAGATCGACATCTACGACAGGCAGCTGGCTTTGTTGAACAAGTGTGAGGGTGTCATTAAGGTAGGGAGGGTGTCTTTATTGTAGGGGTGTCATTAAGGTAGGGAGGGTGTCATTAAGGTAGAGAGGGTGAATTTAAGGTAGGGAGGGTGTCATTAAAGTAGGGAGGGTGAGTTTAAGATAGGAAGGGTGTCATTAAGATAGTGGTGTCATTAAGGTAAGCAGGTAATATTACTAGTCTTTTATTAGTCTCATGTTAAAAAAATAGTTTCTGTTCCGATGTGTTTATCTAATAGCTTAACTTCTAGATATAGGTCTTTTAGTTACCCGAACATTTGTGCACAAAACTTCGCTCTATTTTCGAAATGATCAACACTTATCCCTATATTTGGCAATAAATATTTGATAAATGCTCATATTCCCCTGTTTTTTCCATCATTCAATACTTGTCTCCCCTCTACTCCTCAGTATTCAATGCTTCTCCCCTCTATTCCCTAATATTCAATGCTTCTCTCCCCTCTATTCCGCAGTCCGCCGAACAAAGAATCCGCGACGCGGCCATCCAGTTCATCGCGGAGGTCCGCAACAAAGAGAAGCTTCTCATCGAGGAGCTGCACGACATGTACGGCGCCGAGCTCATGACCTACGTCAGCCGTAAGAACGAGATGCAGAACAACCTGGACGGCTTGAAGAGCACGTGCAGCCTGACGGAGCTCGTGCTGAAGGGCAAGGACATTGAGCTGCTCCTGCTGAAAAAACAAGTCCAGGAGAAGCTCTCGGCAATGGCCAATGTGGAACTCAAAGACCTGCCACGGACTGTGGGGAAACAGATTTGTTTCGTTGCTGGGAGTGTTGATTTTGGTAAACTCGATGACCCCGACGCGCCGATTGATAAGAAGAAGGAGCTACAGAGGGAAAGGGAAGCGATAGAGGACAGTCAGAGGCTGACTTTACCGAACATGGTTTTTGGGCAGAAAGGATTTGATCGAGATATAATCAAAGAGGTGAAAAAGGTGATTCCTAAACGAACCATTGAGACACAGACGGAAGTCATGCAGGAGAAGCCGATCGCGAAAGCCGTTTTGGTGAACAGGTGTATACAGACAGAGTACCCGGAGAGGTACGATCGGGAAGAGTCTTCGGCCAGCAGCAGCCGAGGGTCTTTCGGTCTCGAGACCCGCGGCACCGGAACTGACGTCATCACGACGCTGGAAAAAGCCGTCAACACCCCGACCAGGAGCCTGTGTCACATGTCCAGCCAAGCCCAGGGAACAGACTCCCCCAGAGAGGAGTCGCCAGCGTCTTTCGGAGACGGCAGCGCCGACGCCGCGGCCTTGCGACGACAGAGGCGTCGCCGCGAGAGGAAGGCTTTGGAGGTGTCGGTGCGCCCGACGACGTCCTACCGGCAGCCGGCGGAGGGGTACGCTTTTCCGGTTCTAACTTACAGCAGTAGCATAGACGACACCACCACGCCCGGCAACAACCACACACACGCAGACACACACACAGACACACACGCCGGGGACGGGGTGGCCGATGTGGTCGCCCACATCAGCCTGCCGGCGAAAGTCTCGCCCGTGACCGACGCGGTGATAACCTTGAACCCCGTCGTGACCTTGACCCCTTTCGTCACCGAGGCGTCGGTGTACTCGACCACGGCGACCAACACGGAGAGGCTGACGCGGCAGCACGCCAGCACCTCACCTCCCAGGTTTTAGACGCGGAGTCAGTCACTTTTTTTCTTCCAACAACAGGCGGCTTCCATTAGTATTGTTATTTATTTCGTTGGCGGGTTGGGGGTGGGGGGGGGGGGGCGGTTAACATATTTGTAACATTACTTGATAATTATTGTGGTGAGAGTGAATGTTATAGATAAGTGTTTGCGAGATTACGAATTTATAAATGCCTATTATTAAATTTGCCGGGGGGTGGGATGAGAAAAGAATAATTAATTAACTTCTAATTAACAAGGACGTTTTTAACTTCATTATAGTACTTTTACTTTAAAAAAGTAATTAATTAAACCATCGTTTGTTGCATTAGACTGATGAGCTGCATACATTTATTTGAGTAGCAATGGATGTTCCAAAAAGATATTGAAAACAAAATTCCAAAAACATATTTTTTTTAAAACTCCATCTATCTTAATCCGAATTTTGATTATTGTTTCCGTCATACGGCCAGTGTTTCTTCCAGACTTTTTTCTCCGGGGGGGGGGGGGGGCACTTGAAATTTTCGGGGGGGGGGCGGTAAAAAAACTATATAAATTTCATTTCGTTCGGGGGGGGGCGGTAAAAAATTTTCGGGGGGGGGGGGGGGGGCTTTGCCCCCCCCCCCCCCCCCCCCGAAGAGATGCCTGGAAGAAACTCTGCATACGGCAGGGGCGTTGGGTTGCAGACTGCACCGGGTGTCACAATTCAAGGGGGTGACACCAAAGCGAAAAATTGACTTCTTATGAAAAAAACAATCTTTTTAGGTTAGTTAATTAAAACTATTGAAATAATAAGTTAAGCATAAAGTGACCCAACCTAAAATTGTTGTGTATGTAGGGGGGAGGGGTGACACCAAATTAATTAGAGTTTTGGTATAGCTTATATAAATGTGTTAACACACTGAGTTACCGTGCATTGTACAGACCGACTCACACCACTTGTATATTATAAGATAGGGATTACTTATCTGCTTACTTAAGCCGTCATTATGGAAGCCGCCTTGATATGTAAAACAATTCCAAATTTTTTCGACTAATTAGTGCTTTCAATATTGATTCACATTATATTTTAGTCAGGACTTTACAAAATGTACAATAGGTCTTTAAACCTTTTATTTAAAAAAAAAACATTCGCATTTTTATTTTTTTGTGTTGCCGAGTCCTCGGTACTTTCAGATTGAAAAAATTTCGGTGAACTGTAAAAATATATCACCCAATCGTAAGTTGGTAAGGCTATTTTTAGTTTGTCCAGTGTAGTCACGTGTAGTCTTCTCGTCAGTATTAGTTCTATAAATAACTCTGCACGCGACGTAGTTTCGTTGTCACACATGCGTCATTCACACCGGTGTAGCAGTAATTTTGTTCACTCTGGTGTTTGTTCACTTTTATATCCCATTTCAAAATTTCACTATTTATTTCATCAATTTTTTTTTACCTTTTTTAATTTTGATTTTTATTTGCTTTAAAAATATTTTTTTTAAGTTGAAATACTGACAAATTTTATTTAAAAAAAAGCTAATTGTGTTTTTTTTTTCAAAATTAACAACTTTTAAAATTAAAAAAAAAGTTAATTCAATTAAGATAATGATAGGCTGTCGTGAGAAGTGCTGTTGTGGTGGTCCGATTTTTGTGGGCACTAATCCACTTAACATTCCCATCACCAGATGACAAGACTAATCTTTAATCAACCACCCCCACTGACCAACCCAGTTCTGTGGTGACCATTAACACCCAACCCCACACCATAAACTGGTGAACATCAAATACAACACCATCACCACACAGTAACTTTGGATTTTAAATTCGGTCGATACAAAGTAGGCCTATCATTCGCAGTTACTTAAAATTTCGCTGTATCTAATTACATTGCGGAAAGGAAAGTCTCAACTATTGCCGATATATATATATAAATATATATATATATATATATATATATATATATATATATATATATTCCTCATATTGGAAAATAATATAAAAATCAATCTAAAATATATGTTCTATTTCAGATTGTTGCATTTTCACTATCTGAAATAAAGCTACATTTTTAAATGCAATTTTTATTTTGTTTGGGAAAACTAATTCAAATCTAGTACACAAGTATAAAATATACAATTAAAATAAAATCCTACTAAAACATTCACACCTCACATAAGTTTACCACCACACTACACCCCTGATAGTGCACGCCTATGTAAATCACACCTCCATTTTAATTTTACAGCGGCAAATCTTAGGTCGTGAGAAAGATGCTCGCACGAATTTTACGGTAATCACGTGACAACGCTCATACACACTGCAGCTTCCGTTTTTGAGTGGACTTTAAGTGCGTCCATCGGTCAAAATCTAAATTTAAAACAATAAACTTTTTTTTTAAAAGTAATATAGTAATATAAAAACAATTTTCATAATCTTATAGTTAAAGAGAATGTAACACATTATGTGATTGGACGCACTTAAAGTCAGCTGACTAATGCTATTTTTAATTGACCTACTTTCTCTAGACTAGCTTTCTTTCTATCGCAGCTCACACATTTTTTTTTCTTCCAGCAAATAAAAAAAAATGCTTTATTTAGCATAGAGTCAGCTCCTATTAGGTTTCACATTTTATTAACTTTTTTTTGGTAATAGTTAATAATTTTTAAATTAATAAGTTCCAAAACTAATGTAACATTAATTTGTTTTTTTTTTTACATAAATCTTACCTGCATTTACCCTTTAGGATTTGACTCAAGGTTTGAATTTTCACCCACATTTGGCATCTACTGCATTTAGTTGTTGCATGCTAAATGTGTTCCTGTGTTAGCTTGAGTGATTTAAAAAATCTGGTTTTCTTGCACGAAAGTTGTCTGATAAAAGCCTGTAAACGTGTGCTTGTCTTCAGGCTCGCATCACTCAGGCGTGTCTAGTTGAAATTTTTAAATATTTTTAAAAAGAAGTTAAATATCGCTGAATTACATCATTTTTATTAATACATGTTAGAAAATACTTGTATTATTTACAAGGGTGTGCATTTTGTAAACAATATTTTTAAAATATTTAAAAACATTTTTTTAAAGAGTTTCCCTAAATAGTGGATTGTAAATAATTGTCAAATATCGAGGTAAAATTCTCGTGAAATAATTCAAAAATTTATTTTTTTATTATTTTTAAAGAGAACATTACATATAATTTATTCTCTGTATAATTATGGGATATATTTTATTTAACGAAGTATGCAGTTGAAGCTACGGATATGCAATCTTTTAACCCATTGTATGCGTCTGTATTAAGTCTATAACTTTGTAGAATCAAGGCTTTAATTTAACATAAACCTCAGCTCCTAGTCTAAATGAGCTTAAAATCTCTTAATGAGTTTGAGCTTAATGTGATGAGTATTGCCCAGCGTCATCATCGTCTGTTTGAAATGTGGGCGGCCATCTTTTTGTGTACGTCTGCTCGTCGTCTGCTTGTTGTCTACACACAATGTATTGGTTGAAGATTCGTTTTGTCGGCTGCTTGAGTTAGAATTATACGATGAATGCTATTTTTAGCTCTGACATGTGCATGGTTATTTTAAAACGGGGGTTAACTATTTAGTTAAATTATCTAACTTAGTTATTTGAATTTTAGCTTTCTAACTTAAAAAATAAAATAAAAAAATAATTAGGTTAACCTGCTACTAAATGAGGACGCCCCCCATCCTGTGTTAGTTAATGGGTATGAATCCCTAGCAGAAATGTTAGTGTATTAAATAAAATAATTACCTTTTGTGTAAAAAAAATTAGTTAAATAGCAACAATTACAATTTTTCCAAGTAGTAAAGTTTTAATTTAGATGTTACCTTTCAACAATGCTAGAAGCCTATTTTAAAGTAGACAATTCCATTAGAAACTACTCCTCAAGATGCAAGTATTTATTTAATTTATATAAAATCATATTTATAAAATCTGTTAAAAATGTCTTAGCATTGAGACGCCTTCACGCGAGTTTTCCATTCGGCGCGATCAGCTAACTGTTGTCATGTCTGTGACGTCATCCATCTAATTATAGCCGTCTTTCTCCTGCAGGTCCGACAACGACATTGAGAGTTACCTGGATGGGCTGTCGGTCCGGAGACCTTACTTGGACACCGGTTACGTCAAGAGATCCCTATAGTCCAGTGGTTCTCAGATAGTTGGGCTAGCTGCTAGTTTTATGCAAGTAGATATTAGAGGCCTTTGGGGTTGAGATAATACAAATATATCAAACAGTTAATACCCTCAAGAGCCAAACGCAAATAGGGCTGGTAAGTAGGTCACCAACCAGTTCTACGGCTCAATAAAACCTGCATAAACCATAGAACTGATTGGTCACCTACTTACCAGCCCTATTACGATGTTTTCGAAAGCAGATTTTCGAAATAATAAGAAATAATTCATTTAATATTAAGCAATATTGATAAAATAAAACAGTTATTATTTATTCTTTCGAAGACCTGAGGTTTAAGCGCGATCTATTTTACGATTGTTTCTTGGCGTTTTAAAAAAAAACTTGCATTTAAACTTTACTACACTTTTTAAATAGAAATGTGCAATACACTTTTTCTTTTTGAAAAAGGACATTAAAATATGTATATATACTTTTACTTTTGTATAGTTTTAAAGCTAGAACCGACCTAATTTGAGATCCCCTGGATTTAGTGCTTGTGTATTATTTTGTTAGTTAGCACTTTGAGATAGGTACAGGTGCAAGTCTAGATTAATCCTTGGTTTAGTAACAATATATGTCATTAATTAACTAGCGTCTGCTACAAGAGCTTTTATACCAAGGTACATCTACTGTAGTAATAAATAAATGTATCATAGCATTCATGCATTCTTGTCTCAACGACAATTCTTAAAATGCATCTTATAAAATATACATAGAAGGATATAACAATCCGATTCATTGCTTTTTTAAAATTAAAAAGTAGTGTTACAAAGTGCGTGTTCCGTCCATTTTTTTCAACCCATTGTATCATTCAGATTACGAGGTAAGGGAAAAAACTCTGTTTTATGCTAGGAGATAGATATTTTAAACAAATAAAACATTAGACGACTACTAATTGAAGAAATCAAAAAGATTATTGCGTAATCTTCCAAGGATTATATAAGTATATAATTTGAATGCATTAAAAATAGTTTTTCAAAGATAATGAATAAAAACTGATATTTTGTTTGCAATGAAGAGAGCTTTTTCTTTTAATAACTGAGGTGTATACTTAATGTTCAAACAGAATGCACTCTAATTATATATCTAGTTCTTAAAATGAGGCCTATATTTTTAAACTAGCTAAATTTGCAAAACGGCATATCTTAATTTGTTTAAAACATTTACATTGAAAATCATTTGATTAATTTTTTTTGGTTTTTAAAATAATGGCCATGTAATGAAAATCAAACAATCAAATGCTAAACCTTTTGGTTAATAAAAGTTAAGCATGGTAAAGAACAGCAAATTTTTCTGTAAAAAAAAAAACAACAGATAGGTTTTGATGTAATTATTTAAAATTTTCGAAATGTACATAGAGTATCCAAATTCTCTAAATTTAATGGCCCATGGCATTTTTTTCTGTCTTGTAAATGGGACTACTGAGAATGACGTCATTATCAGTTGTGCATCTGCTTTTTATGACGAAGTTTCAAGTGCTTTCAAGACGTGCAATATTCTATGTAGCGGCATTCCTACATTAGGCTAAGCTTTTCGAAGTGTTCTGAGTTTTTTTTTAATTTATGATGAAAATTTGTATTTTTTAAAACTAATTTTTTTTTATTGTAAATCAAAGCGTATGTAAGACCATTTGACAAACCTGATTTCAAATTTAGATTTTTTTTTAAAAAAAGAAGAAAAATGCAATATTTATATTCACTTATAGCATAGTTAGCCTATGTATACATAACGAAATGGTTTCTGAATTCTGAATATTGGATTTTTTAAAAGAAATATTTTATATATTCGTGTAAAGCATAGCCTGTGTATACCTGACAACTATCCGCTGTCAGCACTGAAAAACCTATAACCATCATTCAGCCAATATACCGCGTACCCACACCACCATTATCACATATCTGATTCATTATGTTGAAGTTGATCGCATTCTTTTAAAAATTCCAAAAGTATTTTTGTTGCAAGGTGAAATAAAACTGTCAAACTTTTCTTTTTTGAATAACAATGATTTTTTTCTTCAAAATAAGCATTGTTTTCTATTGTGTTTACAAAAAATATTTAAAACTAAAATTTTGAATAATTATGTTTTACATTTACATTTTTAGATGAAATATTTCATTGTAATCATAATTATTTTGTAAATTGAGTTTGAAATTATGATTTAAAACTGCAATGAATATAAATTTCGTTCTCGTATGGTCTATTCACAAACGAGGAAAAGCTTTAAATTTTTTTTTATAAAAAGCTGTACATGTTGAAAGAAAAGAAAATTGAAAAAGTTTTTTACGAGAACAAACTGTAAAAATGTGTCATTCAACTGAGTCTTTAGTTATGTAAACTTTAGTTCTGATCTGAGTAAAATCGATTACTGTAGACACATCTGTGTTCAACTGTTTTATTTTTGTTTGTTTGTGCACGTGTGGTAGGTGTTGTTTTAGCCGCCATTTTGTTCTTTGCTGGAATTTCAAAAAATCTCTTTCACTATGTGAAACTTAAAATGCAATGAAATAACTTCTAAAACTAAATTGATATGTTTCATATTAAAAATATTTTCTATAATTATCTAGCAAGAATATGATTACGTGTTAATTACTTGTAAAAGTAAACTTTATTTAACGGTTTAAACGGTTTACTTTGAACATTGAATTAATTTAAGATTTTGTGGAATGGATAACCGTCTAGATATCAGAAGGTAATGTTGTCCTTTGGGTGTTCAGCTTAAAATAAAAATGTAGTGTTTGTCTTTGGGGGGTCAATAGGGCCTAATGTAACGCTGAAATGCGAACAGCGTACAGTTATCTTGACTTTATACAGCGACGTCACAAGACCTAGGCGCGGGGGGAGGGGGGGGAAGGGGGGTACGAACCTCAGTGGGTGATACCCGACCCAGTGAAGTCCCTTATTTTATACACAACTGTTCAGTACACACAATATGACACCCCTCACATGACACCCCTCACCTGACACCCCTCACATGACACCCCTCACCTGACACCCCTCACATGACACCCCTCACATGACACCCCTCACCTGACACCCCTCACCTGACGCCCCTCACCTGACACCCCTCACATGACACCCCTCACCTGACACCCCTCACCTGACACCCCTCATCTGACACCCCTAACCTGACACCCCTCATCTGACACCCCTCAACCCTTTTTCTAGTCTCTAGTCAGTTGACAAAGCCGGCTATTTTTATATGAAGCCAAATATACATAAATCTATTGTAGGATATCGGTTATGTTAAGTTCCGTTTCAGAACCTGGCGGTATATGGGGCAAGCGAAGTAGAGTTCACCTGTTTCGGTGACCTCGGCATATGAATGGATAATGTGGTCAGTCAGTACTATGCTTGACCGCTTTTATTTTCTCTAAAGTATGTTAGGTACCCATCAGAGCTGGGTAGACTCAAGTACGTTCTACTGATCTGAACCCGGATTCGAACTCATATGACTTTCGGGTTAGCACCACATCGTCCCCGTATCAGTTATGGGGTTTATTAAATCTTAAATTAAAAAAAAAATGTTCTTTATATTCATTCTGTACAGCAACAAAAATGTACCGAGAATCCTTTGCTGTCTTAGTATTGGTATTTACTGATGAAGAAAAGGGCCTTAAAAGAAGCTGTCTTAGTATTGGTTTTAAATTATGAACAAAAGGACATTAAAAGAAGACATTTTAAAGACAATTGTTTTTAAAAAAAATCTGTGGACGATTGTTTGGTGAATGTTGAACGGTTAAACCACGGTGACATTTCAACTGTTTGCGCAGTGGGAGACGGACGCGCGTTGCGCTAATTCAGCCGGGCAACAAAACACTTCCTCTGTAATATCCTCGTCCCACCGCGGACCTCTTTTCAAAGCCGCGTGATGAAATGTCACGCATGCGCATTTAGGGCAGCCTCGGCCCCTGGTGGTGCTCTCCCTTTGTTTGTCCTTGAGGGTAATCTCCCTGTACAGGGATTAGAGATAATCCTACCGTTTACTAGTTTGACTATTTGAGATAGTTTTTACTTGTGTAAGAAGAAGGAAAAAGAGAAGAATGCTGTAATGATAAGTGTAACAAGAATGACGTGTTCGTCCTGGGGTTAAGTTGGTCTCCCAGCAGGTGGACTGGTCAGTCTTGAGACACGGGATTTGCAAGCAGGACGTCCACCAGTGTCTTAAAAATATACCTGGACGTGTGATTTGAAAAAATAATAACTTAATCTTTTAATTACCGAATATATTTTAGTAATTTTAAAATTAATCTTTGTGTAAGTTTGCAAAAAATTAATGTGGAATTTAAAAAATTGATAAGTTGTAGGTTTGTTAGCCACAAGTTGTGATTTAATCTGAAAGGCTATGGTTAGATCAATAATTTGTATAAACTGAGGATCTTCATTGGACGTATACAAGTGGTGGAGTAACTTAAGCGTGAGGAGATGGAATTTTCGAGAAGATTTTTTATATTTACTTTTGGGATAATTGTACTCGGTAAGTAGTTGATTTACTTTACTCATATTATCGGAGATCTAGAGAACAAATGGTGGGATTTTACTTTAGGATGTAATGATGTGAAATAAAAACAAACATCATAGGTACTGTTGTGTTGGTGTAGTTTAAGGCTAAATACAGGACCGGTGAATATAGTGGGCTGAAAGGGCTTGGTCATGGGGGCCGTTGATTTGTAGACCGATGATAGAAATAAAATAACATCAACTAGAAGAATTTGCACTGGGAACTTAACTCATAGTGCTGGGCATAGTGCTGACCACACTATCTCTTCATATGCCGAGGTCACAGAAACAAGTGAACTCTACTTCACTTGCCCCATAGATCGTCAGGTTTGAAAGGGAAACTTTACTTTTTACTTTACTTAACTCATTGTAGGAAAAATTAAGGCGGATGGGCATGGTGCTGACCATACTATCCCTTCCAATGCGAGGTCACTGAAACAGATGAACTCTATAATTCATCTGCCCCTTGTTTCTTTGGCACGAACGAGAAACGATGGTGATGATAAGAATTTGTGTCGTTTTAACAAGAACCTTGTATAAACAAAGTTAACTCGATGATTGGGAATATGGAGCAAGATTTAATGATTTTGTTATGGAAAAGTTAGAAATTCATTATACGAATACCTTCACGTAATGCCTCTTGCGGAGGTTAACGTTACCTAGTAGCTATTTTTGAACATAAAATATGAGAATATCTGCTGCACTTAGCTCCCTTGCACTTAATTAATTGGTGCGGGCATTCAATTAAAGTAATTTTTTAAAAATATGTTTATTTTCAAATAGAAATCATTACATCAACATATACTTTATATTCATATGTGAATATACATATGACATATACATATGTGTGTGTGTGTGTCTGTGCTTAACATGTTGTGTATTTAAGCATAGTTCAAATATAAACAACTTGTAAATAACCCTCACACTGAAAGTGGATCAATTTCACATTTATTTAATGATTTAGTATATCAATAAAATCATTGTTCGTGGTTTCTAATTATAGTACCAGACAAAGCAATATAGAGAATGAAATCAATGCAAATTTTTATAATAATTTAATAGCAGATTAATGGAAATATAATGTCAATGTGTTATGTTATTTTAGATCGGGTTAGATTTTTTTTTTTAACAGCCGCCCATCGTGGACAATCGCCACCATTTAAAAATAAAACAACAACCGAGAATCGTCTCCCTTTATGTATTGTTTGATGACAAGGGGAGGGCACTCGAACAAATTCTGCCTGTGTACTGAAGGCTCATGACAGGTTGCGTTGGAGTCTGGGTGTACATTGGGTCCAGTGATTCAAGATAATGTTAGGTCATGCAACAATGTATAGTTTTTTTCTTCTTCGTTCTTAATTGTAATATTGTAGAGGGTTTCATCCAACAGAATTAAGTATTACGAGTCAACGTCTTAAACGACATATGGCCCGTTGACTCAGAATTTAACCTGTTTCTCTTTCTGGATTTTCTTCCATAGCCTTTGTCCACTCAAGAACAAACTACAAGGCAGCAGTTTGATTTTGGGGTTTTATCTCCTGGAATGGTTGCCTTTCCCAGATAGCGAGCCTCAGCTACCCGAGGGTTCGAACTTGGGACTTTTAGAGCTGGCACCCATTAGCTCTCCCGTCCGTTAGGTTCCCATTGCAAAGTTTCGTTCTAAATTTATTAAACTAAGAAACACACCAATGCTGTTGTGGCGTTATACCTTAATCAAAACTTACAAATCTAGAGAGGGGGGTATCACTCAAATGTTTATTCACAATTTAGACTACGGGAGACAATATGACTTAAATGTTTATTCACAATACTAGATTGATGGGAAAACCATATTCAAAAGTTGATTGATTCAAAATTTTATAGATTGGGATAGTGGGGGATGGGTGGGTACAGAGGCGTCGCGAGGCGGAGATGGGGGGGGGGGGGGCGGGTGCGGACCATTTAGGGGTTGACACCATGACGAAAAATTGCAAAATATAAAGACGAAAAATGCTTTTTGCAGGTTTAGTTAATGAACAATTATAGTTTAAAAGTCTTATAAGTACCCACTGACCATCTCGACACTACATACACACAGTGGCGTAGCGAGGTCGGGTGTCACACGGTGCGGCACTTAATGGTGTCACCCCCCAGAGGCGTAGCGACTCTTCCCGGGGACAAACTTTCAAATTTTCGATTTGCACCCCCACTGAAACTTTCGATTTGCACCCCCACTGAAACTTTCGATTTGCACCCCCTCAAACTGTCGATTTGCACCCCCCCCCCTCAAGTTTTTCTCTAGATATTTTGCTATTTTTTGCCTTGGTGTCGTCCCCCTAAATGGTGTCACCCGCATCTGCATACACACACTCACACATACTCCACGACACCATGAAGTGCCGCACCGGGTGACAAGGTATTAGGATATCGACATTCGATGTACAAACGACTATAAGATAATAGAATGTAATAACTGCGCTGTCTGTAGTTGTTTGTATCTTTCGTTGTTATCTGGGTTTAAAAATTAATTTTCGAACTTCAATAGTCCTTTTGATTTGAAGATTGTTTTGAACAAAGTAATTTGACTTGACTTACTTGACTTAATCCTCTTTACTCCTTTACTCTTATGTTGTTTGTTGTTCTTGCAGAGGCGCGACCCTTCCCTGCGCCCGGGGACAAACTTTCGATTTGCACCCCCCCCCCCATCAGACTTTCGATTTGCACCCCCCTACAAGCTTTCAATTTGTTTTTCCTACCCATTTTGGCGCCCCCTAAGGTCGGCGCCCGGGGACATATGTCCCCGTCCCCCCCCCCCCTCGCTACGCCTCTGTGTTCTTGTCATCGTTGGTATTTCCTTCTATAAGCCTAAGTCGGGGGGATATTATCCAGGGGGTTTATGTCGCGGGGTTTTTTTTATCCAGGGGTTTTATGTCGTTGTTTTTTTTAAATCTAGACCCGTTTAGTAAAAGTTAAAAAAGTAGGTCTGTATTTATATCTTTAAAAACAATTAATTATTTATTTCATTTCGCTAATGTTTAATTACATCGAGACCGAACACGAATAAAAAAATTTGCTCTCAAATAAAATCAGTAAGTAGCAATCTGAAATCTGACAATTTTCTGCCCCTTATTTAAGTCTGTGATTGTTTTATGGCTTAAAACCAGCAGTTTACCGCCATCGGCTTATTGATTGAACAACCGCTAAAAGTTGAGATTTGTTATCTTCCCTTTTGTTATTCAATTTGAAAATTTTAAATCAATTTTAACGACGCATTTTACATATAATTAGGTTAAAATGAGATATTCATGTATTGTCTTCGCAAAATATCAGGAAAGATTTAGGTAATCATTGGAATAGAAATGGGTCAAAATTGTGTTAAATTTGCCACAAACGGTTTTCAGACAAATTCGCAAATGGAAAACTGCGTAAAGGAAAATTGAGCAAAAAAAATTCATAAAAAACGTTTTAATAACAAGCTTTTATGTAATGATGCACTAAAAAGTAGAAAATAAATTATAGACTACTATTTAAATAACTATAAAGAAAAGCGTGGGTCACTTTAGTATCTATTGGATACCTTTACTAATGTTAAGGAAGACACCCACGCTTTTCTTTATAGTTATTTAAATAGTAGTCTATAATTTATTTTCTACTTTTTAGTGCATCATTACATAAAAGCTTGTTATTAAAACGTTTTTTATGAATTTTTTTCAGTACTTTACATGTTTTATCTACAATAGAGTTACATGACTAAAAACCATTGCGCGCCTACTGAATATCACGTTCAGTAGGCGCGCAATGGTTTTTGAACGCAGCCATTACGTGGTCGTGATGGCGCAGCTATTGATGACGCGTGTGGTGTGGTTGGCTAGACATGCCTACTAATTCGGTCCAAATTTTAATTAATTCATAAAAAATCAATTAGGCATCCAATTAAGTCAAATTTAGTTTCAGATTGCATTGTCTTCATGTCTTGACCCACGTGCCAACTGTGAATCGTGTCGGTCAAGTAGAACTGTCCGAATTTTCACTCCTGCGTTTCCGTCAAGACAGACTTACGACAGACAGAGGAAGTGAGTTAAATAAAAGCTTGTAATAAAAATGCGCAAATACAAACTAATTATACTTATACACTTTAATTGTGTCATTTTTCTTGAAAAATTGTTTTGTTAAGCTACAATGTATATTTGGTCATTGTTTTCTTATTTCTATAACAGCTCAATTAAAACTAAAACATTTTTATGCGCAGTTCTCCGTTACGCATTTTTCCGCAGCGCATTTTTCCGGTCATCGCCGCACACTGACAGACAGAAGGACAGAAATTGTAATCTAATTAAAAGAAAAAAATGGTAGTTTGACATCTGGCGTCCAACATCTATGTCAGTGTCACACCATTTGTTAGTGTCACACCATATGTCAGTGTCACATGATATGTCTGTGTCAAACCTTATGTCAGTGTCGTAACATATGTTAGTGTAATACCATAATTAGTGTCACACCATATGTTAGTGTCACACTAAATGTCAGCATCCCATCATATATCAGTGTCACACCATATACTAGTGTCACGCCATATGTTAGTGTCACACCATATGCCAGTGTCACACCGTATGTCTGTGTCACAAAACATCTAAGTGTCACACTATATATTATTGTCACACCATCTTAGTGTCACCCCATATGTTAGTGCCACTGTGTCACACCATATGTTAGTGTCACGCCGTATGTCAGTGTCACACCGTATGTCAGTGACACGGTCCCTGTCAATGTGACAGTAGAGCCCCTCACAATCAAACCTATTGTTTCCCCCCCCCCCCCCACCACACCAACGGTACTGGGCAGCAACTGTTGACTTCGTGTTACCATGGTAATCTCTGCCCCAACATGCCGCACGTCCTGCCCAAACCTAGCAGGCGACTAAACCAAACAGGCGGGAATACCTGCGCGCGTGTCACCAGGCGCTGTTGTTTCATTACCTCAGGCCATGTGACCATCACTAGCCAATCAGAGCAAACTTGTTTGGTCGAAGCACCGAGTCTAGCATTCCAGCACGGAATGGTTGTAACCGATGCGCATAGTCGTGTTGCGCAATGTGGTATTGCGCAATGTTGTGGTGCGCAAGGTCGTGGTGCGCATTGTCGTGTTGCGTATTGTCGTGTTGCGTAATGTCGTGGTGCGTAATGTCGAAGTGCGCAATTTTGTGGATTTCCTTTATACGCATAAATAAAAGCTTATTAGTATTATAAACTTTTTATTTAACTTACTATCATTTTTTTTAAATTATTATTTTTTTATTAGTATTATAAACTTTTTATTCAAATTATTATTATTTTTTAATTAAAATTTTTAAATCTCACGATTAAAACACTTGCACAACTATCGTGTGAAATCTTGTTTGCAAGACTAGAGACGATGGTCAAGAGATTAATAAGCTTATATTGGCAAAACATCAGATTAAAATAAATCAACAACAACCATAACAAAAATACCACTGTGTCGACTGACAACAAAGCATATTTCATATATCTTGGCTAAGCACATCTTCAGACTAAATCTATATCTCACACAGGAACATAGGAACGCAGATTTTCTGAGTTGGTGCCCTTGCCCAGGCCCAATTGGAATTCACCGCGTTGTTGACTTCTGCAAAGACAAACATACATTTTGAGCTAGTTCCACGTTTGCAGAGAGAAAGGTGGACTGATAATATATATGTCCATTACAAAAAACAGAGGTGTCAGACATATCACAGATTTTATACATCTATTATTACTGCTAGAAACTGCGGGAAAATCTGGAAATCATAGAAAAGACTGTCAAAGTCTGTCAGGATTGTATTGCTGTGAAAATTGAAAGTTAAAGCATAAGTTCTATTGTAAAAAAATACTTTTAACTATAAAAATGAGACAGAAAAAATTGTTTTCAACCAAAAGACTGGTATTAGGTTGAGTGAGAGACTATAGTATTCAACTTTTTGATATTTGTGAATGGCGTGAGTATAGCGTGCATTGCGCTGCTTTTCCCGTTTGATGAAGTAGAGTTCATCTGTTACAATGACCTCGGCATTCAAGGGGACGTGCTACTGACTTAGACCCGGATTCAAACTCGATATTTTCGGGTAGCAGTCTAGCGCTCTACCTCTAAGCCACGCCGACCGGAGACTTACTGTGAACATAAGCGAGAGAAAAGCTCAATTTTTTTCTAGTTCCGCCACTGCAGCTTTTAACATGAAAAAGAATGGCGAAACTACTATTTAGATATCTATAAATCCCCACGCTTTTTATTGCATATTACGTTTTATTGGGATTAACATATTGTTTGCTCAGTCTTACGTTGAATCACATTTTTGTTGATTAACAATTGAATTCGCCATCTTACGTTTAGTAACAATTTGTCTGGCCGTGTTAACATTGTTTGTTCACATATTTCTGTTTGTTGCCCTGTGTTTGGATTGTTTGTTGTTTCACATTTATGTTTAGCCGCGTAGTCTTTACACCAATTAGTCAAACAGAGAGTCGCTTTATTTAATATGTTGTAAGATAATAAAATAAAAGAACTAAATTTAAGCCAATCTAAAACTAAATAAACGAACATAAAGTAAGAATAGTTACAAGACCAACAAAAACGACCAATTAAAATGACCAACTAAAATGATTGTCCAATAAAACCCAAAGTTCCAACTCAATTTCCCCAAATAACACGAGATTAACCCTCAGATAACATAACTAAACCCCACATATTAATCGACCCCCTGGTTCCCCAGATAACGTAAGATTGACCCCCACATATTCGTGCCCCCCCCCTCCCCCATGGCACAGCCCAGACCAAATGTGACAAGAAGAGAGCCGAGCTGTGTGTGGCTCAAATGAATGACCCCCCCACCTCTTGTCCCTCCCCCACCCAGTTAACATAAGACTACCCACTCCCCTTGTCCCCCCCCCCCCCCCAGATACCCTAAGACTGACCCCCCCCAGATAACATAAGACTGACCCTAATGTGACAAGAAGAGAGCGGAGCTGTGTTCGGCTCAGATGGAGGACCCCCCCCCCCCAGTCCCCCCTCCAGATACCCTAAGACTGACCCCCTAAATGTTTGTGTCATCCCCCAGGTCACAGTGTCACAGCCCAGCCCAAATGTGAGAAGAAGAAAGCCGAGCTGTGTGTGGCTCAAATGGAGGACGTCATCACAGGTGTACTGGAGACAACGACAGGAGTTTCTCGGACAGAAAAGCTGCAGCAGCTGTGTTTGTAAGTTGGGAGCTGTAGAGTTGGGAGCTGTAGAGTTGGGAGCTGTAGAGCTGGGAGCTGTCGAGATGGGAGCTGTAGTGTTGGGAGCTGTAGAGTTGGGAGAAGTAGAGTTCGGAGCTGTAGAGTTGGGAGTGTAGAGGGGAACTTTAGTGTTGGAAGCTATAGACGTGAGAGAATATTGGGAGCTGTAGAGTTGGGAGCTGTAGAGTAGGGAGCTGTAAGGTTGGTAGCTGTAAGGTTGGTAGCTGCAGAGTAGAGGTTTTAAAAGTTGTATGGTGGGGAGCTGTGAAATTTGAAGTAGGCTATACTGGGAGCCGTAGATTGGGTTTTTTTAATTAAAAGCTGTAATTGTTGGTATGGTTAGAGCTGTATCGTTGGTAGCTGTAGCTTGGAACTGTAAATTTTGTATCTAGAGTGTTGTTTGTTGTGAGCTGTAGAAATAGCTCTAAGTTTACTGATAGCTGTAGATTTGTTTTGCATTGCATGCTGTAATTTTTTTATTGATTGTAGATGAAAAGTTGTAAATCTTTTTAAATGAACGGGATACTCTTTACATTTTAAACACAAAAAAGCTGATGTATTGTTCATAAAATTAATTTTAATTATAATAAAACTTATTTTATTAATGATACATTCAAATTATTTCATTACTTTTACAAATCATTTTAAAAATAAAAGATCGTTACAATCACAAGAAAAGCTAGAAATGATTTTATTAAATGAAAATCGGAGACAAATTTTCACTATTTAAAGATTATTTGCCATTTTGTTACAGAAATGTAATCAAGGGAAATAACTTGACGCAGTGTTTCATCGAGTCCACTTCCGGTTGCGCAGAAACCCCGAAAGTGGCACCAAACGACATAATACAGCGGTGGGAGAAAGTGATGCAGGACTTGTACGGGCTGTGTGATGGAGGTAACGGCATGGTCCGGGGGGGGGGGGGGGGGTTGAAACTTTCGGGGAAAGGGGGGGGGCGGGGGCGGCGGACATGGGTAAAAGTATATATTTTCTACATACATTCTATTTGGTTCAGGGCGCAGCAGTTGTGCTCAGAGTTTCTTCCAGGCATCTCTTCGGGGGGGGGGGGGGGGTTTCCCCCCCCCCCCCGAATTTTTTTTACCGCCCCCCCCCGCGAACGAAATGAAATTTATATAATTTATATAGAACATATATACTTTTAACAGTGTCCGCCCCCCCGAAGAAAGTCTACCGCCCCCCCCCCCCCCAAAAAAAAATTTCAAGTGCCCCCCCGGAGAAAAAGGTCTGGAAGAAACACTGGTTGTGCTACGGAGGGAGGGGGGGGGGAAGAAAGGGCACACCGAAGAGATACCTGAAACAATGCACCTATGTGACTAGGCATCAAACATCAGTGATGCATCGCACGTTGTAAATTCTGTGTTTAAAATGTGTGGGCTACTCGTAAAGGGAGTCTAGGCAGAATCTTATTAAGTTTTAGTCCGATTGCATCAGTTATGAGGTTGGGGTTAAATTAGGGCAGGACAGGGTTACTTCAGGTCGTGGTTTGAACAGCCGGGTTTTTAACGAAATCATGTAAGTCTCTTAATTTTAAGTCTCTTAATCGCGTGTGCATTTAATATGGTGTTGTGTTGACTAATGTGTATAAATTAGTTTTAATTTTTCTAATAGGTATTGGTAGTCTATGTTATTTTAAATGTGTCGGATTTTTTTTAGCTATTGAGTTATTTCTTTGCTTTGTCACTAATATTGTGCAACATGTAGTAAAGCAAAAAGCGTTTAGACCAAAATATTTTCTAAAATATTTTTCTCAAACAAGTATAACATTAAAATATACGAGCCGACCCGCGGCATATCATACGCCGCTATTTAGTTGTTTTATTTTCTACTTTTCAGTAATTCATAATTTGTGAATTCGACAGTACCAACGATGCCACTGAAAATATTTCTTTAAAACACTATAAGTAGCTCGTTAAGGATGATACCCCCCCCTCCCCCCCCCCCCTTCGTTAAAGTAAACTCCCGTTAGTTACCCCCCCCCTACGTTTAAAATCGTTTCAAACTAAATTATCTGCCCCTAATAGTCGTCACTAAACATATATATATATATATGTGTGTGTGTGTGTGTGAGTGTGTACGTGTTCATGACATAATGTAACAATACAATAGTTTCTATCTATTCCTTGTCAACCTTACAGCCTGCCCGAACTTTCTAGAACGTACTGTGAACATCACACAGTGTACTGGCATAATCCGATTTGACGCCCTCTATGATTCTTCCTACAACGTCTTCTGTAGGTGAGTGCTCCACTTTCATGTCTACTTTCAGTGAACGTACACGTATTGTACAACACAAAATATGATATTTTAAAATTACCCAATAAATGTAAAATGTTATTGTTATTAGTGATCTTGAGAATACTATATCTTGCAAAATTAGGACATTATATATAACAATTTAACTGTCCCCCATTTTATAAACCAATGCTATTCTGTAGTCTGGTCCGTACTAGTTTACAAAGATGGGGGTACGGCTAACCAACACGTACCCAGGGCAGTGTTTTGTGTTAGTTTACAACAATTTGGGTACGGTTAACCTACAAGTACCCAGGACAAAGTTCCGTGTTAGTTTACAACAATTTGGGTACGGTTAACCTACAAGTACCCAGGACAAAGTTCCGGTGTTAGTTTACAACAATTTGGGTACGGTTAACCTACAAGTACCCAGGACAAAGTTCCGTGTTAGTTTACAACAATTTGGGTACGGTTAACCTACAAGTACCCAGGACAAAGTTCCGTGTTAGTTTACAACAATTTGGGTACGGTTAACCTACAAGTACCCAGGACAAAGTTCCGTGTTAGTTTACAACAATTTGGGTACGGTTAACCTACAAGTACCCAGGACAAAGTTCCGTGTTAGTTTACAACAATTTGGGTACGGTTAACCTACAAGTACCCAGGACAAAGTTCCGTGTTAGTTTACAACAATTTGGGTACGGTTAACCTACAAGTACCCAGGACAAAGTTCCGTGTTAGTTTACAACAATTTGGGTACGGTTAACCTACAAGTACCCAGGACAAAGTTCCGTGTTAGTTTACAACAATTTGGGTACGGTTAACCTACAAGTACCCAGGACAAAGTTCCGTGTTAGTTTACAACAATTTGGGTACGGTTAACCTACAAGTACCCAGGACAAAGTTCCGTGTTAGTTTACAACAATTTGGGTACGGTTAACCTACAAGTACCCAGGACAAAGTTCCGTGTTAGTTTACAACAATTTGGGTACGGTTAACCTACAAGTACCCAGGACAAAGTTCCGTGTTAGTTTACAACAATTTGGGTACGGTTAACCTACAAGTACCCAGGACAAAGTTCCGTGTTAGTTTACAACAATTTGGGTACGGTTAACCTACAAGTACCCAGGACAAAGTTCCGTGTTAGTTTACAACAATTTGGGTACGGTTAACCTACAAGTACCCAGGACAAAGTTCCGTGTTAGTTTACAACAATTTGGGTACGGTTAACCTACAAGTACCCAGGACAAAGTTCCGTGTTAGTTTACAACAATTTGGGTACGGTTAACCTACAAGTACCCAGGACAAAGTTCCGTGTTAGTTTACAACAATTTGGGTACGGTTAACCTACAAGTACCCAGGACAAAGTTCCGTGTTAGTTTACAACAATTTGGGTACGGTTAACCTACAAGTACCCAGGACAAAGTTCCGTGTTAGTTTACAACAATTTGGGTACGGTTAACCTACAAGTACCCAGGACAAAGTTCCGTGTTAGTTTACAAAGTTGTTGGTACAGCTAACTAACACGTACTCACATCAATACTCCGTGTTAGTTTCCAAAGCTGTGGGTACGGCTAACCACCAAGTACCCAGAGCAGTGGGTACGGCTAACCACCAAATACCCAAGCTGTTAGTACGGCTAACCACCAAATACCCAAAGCAGTGGGTGCGGCTAATCACCAAATACCCAAGCTGTGGGTACGGCTAACCACCAAATACCCAAAGCAGTGGGTACGGCTAACCACCAAATACCCAAAGCAGTGGGTACGGCTAACCAGCAAGCACTCACATCAATGTTCCGTGTTGCAGTTCCCTGAACGCCAGCCTGCAGTGTGTGAGCGAGACGTCAGAGCTGTGCCCACAGTTCAGCAACTTGTTCTACGACCTGCTGCCCGAGGGCATGGACAAGACGGCCTCCACCATCTGCACGGGAGGTAACGGGTGACGTCATTGTTGACGTAGTTGACGGCCGATGACGTCGTTTACCTACATTGTCGTAGTTAACCTCTAATGAAGTAGTTAACAGATCACACCGCAGTTAAACTATAACTACGTTATAATAATAAAGTAGTTAACCTATAATGACGATGGTAAATTTTAATAACGGTTAACCCATAATGACGTAGTTTACCTTTAATGACGTAGTTAACTTTAATTTTGTAGATTTAGCTATAATGACACAGATCATATAACTTCGCGATTGATGTTTATGTATTTAACAGAAAATGACGTAGTTAGTTTCTCCTGACGCAGCTTACTGCTCGCGGGGTTATTCATAGCCGATGACGTAATTAGCCAATCATGGCGTAATTACCAAATCATGACTTAACTATCCCATCAGTGTCGTAATTACCTAATCATGACGTAATTACCCCATCATGACGTAACTACCCCCATCATGACGTCATTACCCTGTGATGACGTAGTTACCCTTCTGGTGAGCAGGTTGTGATAATTTCGACCAGGCCCTGGAGATGCTGGACACGTGCAAGAAATACGTCATCGACCTGCCTGACGACTTGAAGGAGGCGTGTGTGTAAGTTTTTGGTATCTGTGTGTGTTTGCGTGTGTAAGCTTCTGGTGTGTGTGTGTAAGTGTCTGGTATGTGTGTGTGTTTGTATGTGTAAGTTTATGGTGTGTGTGTGTTTGTGTATGTAAGTTTCAGGTATGTGTTTGTAAGTTTCTGGTGTGTGTGTGTGTGTGTGTAAGTTTCTGGTGTGTGTGTGTTTGTGTGTGTAAGTTTCTGGTATGTGTGTGTTTGTGTGTGTAAGTTTCTGGTCTGTGTGTGTGTGTGTTTGTGTGTGTAAGTTTCAGGTATGTGTGTGTGTTTGTATGTGTAAGTTTATGGTGTGTGTGTGTTTGTGTATGTAAGTTTCAGGTATGTGTGTGTAAGTTTCTGGTGTGTGTGTGTGTGTGTGTAAGTTTCTGGTGTGTGTGTGTTTGTGTGTGTAAGTTTCTGGTATGTGTGTGTGTGTGTGTAAGTTTCTGGTCTGTGTGTGTGTGTGTTTGTGTGTGTAAGTGTCTGGTCTATGTGTGTGTTTGTGTATGTAAGTGTCTGGTCTGTGTGTGTTTTTTTGTGTGTGAGTTTTTGGTGTGTGTGTATGAGTGTGTAAGTTAGTGGTGTTGTGTTTGTGTGTGTGGGGGGGGGGGGGGGGGGGCGAAGGGTTCTATTGTTTCTAGGTTGTGTAAATGTTCGGACTGTGTAAATTTTTCCTTAAGGGGGGGGGGGGGGTGCGGACACTGTTCTTTTTTGTTCGGGGGGGGGGGGGGGGGGCTAGACGTGCTTCGAGAGGTGAGGGTGAATAGCAGTGCCCCCTGAAGAAAAGTGCCTGTAAGATCTCTCACTGATCTCTACCTGAAACCTCTTAACAAAACAAATTCCATTTAAAAAATGTGTCACTATTTATTCCAATCCCTTTTCAACCACTTAGTGAATTTAGTGATTTATACTTTTTTTTAAAAGTTTCACTACTCGATATTTTGGAGAAGTCAAAGCCTTATTAAAAAAAAATGTTAGGCATTATCGATGATTGTGTATAATTTTATAACAGTTAAACAAGGGAGGCTACCAAATATTGTTTTTTAGAAATTTCCCAAAACAGAGTAGTCAGCCTTAGATTTTTTTTATAACGAATAGTGAGTAGGCCTATCTCCCATGTCCTACTCTAACAAACTGATCCTATTTTATTGCCCAGCTCCTACGAGAACTTCAAGACGTGTATACGAATGTCCGAGGCCCCAGTCGCCTGCCCTATGTTCGGATCCCTGATGGAAGTCCTCTATCCCCAGCATATCTTCGGCCTGTATGAGCAGAACTGTAACAGGAGTCTTGATGACGCCACTGTTGGTAAGATCTTAGCGTCACTATTTAAAGTCAAGAGTCGAGGAGTCATGAAATATTTTTAGCCGTTTCAATTGACACATTTGAAATTTTCCAGATTAATCAAATGGATAATTTTATATACAACTCGTGTAAAGGTAGCGGGGGAAGTTTTTTTATATCGTGAAATGGCAAATAAAACTCACAGTTTTTTAAGCTCAGGTATATGATGAAAGTTTGAACTTAAGCTCTGGGACAGGGTTAGAGTTAGAGTCATGGATATGCAAGTTTGCACTAACCTCAAGGATAGGATTAAATTTATGGGTAGTGTCATGGATATGATGAAGAACAGTGTTCGGATTAGAGTAGCAATAGTTTTTAAAAAAAACTAGCCCCGTATACACCCCCCCCCCTTCCCGATGATTGATAACAAGACTTAAATAAATCTGTTGTTTAATGTTCCAGACAAATGTGGCGCCATAGGTGAGGCAAGGGTTGACCACTGTCTTAGGATATTCGCCCTAGCCTGGCCTGCCAAACCTAAGACACCTTCTGATCAACAATGCAAGTAAGACACCAGCTTAAAGTAAAACTGTACCTGCAGTGAGGTGTATCTAATACCGCGTTTACACTTGCGACATGTATACTATACACGTAATGAGAATAAAATATCTCATCAAGTTAGTATACATGTTCCATGGGAAAAATGTTTTTGTTTTCGTACAATCATTAATTTGCTGGGAGTTTTTCCCCCTGATACATGTATAGTATACATGTCGCAAGTGTAAACGCGGTATATGAAGTAGGATCAATAAACGTATAGTATTGTTAAACGCAATAAGGCATGTAAACATCTGCTTTAAGATATGCACTGTGTCTATTGGTATGTAAACTTCTGCCCCCTGTGTCTATTTGTATGTAAACATATGTCCTGTGTCTATTTTTATGTAAACATATGTCCTGTGTCTATTTGTATATAAACATCTGTCCTGTGTCTATTTGTATGTAAACATCTGCCCTGTGTCTATTTGTATGTAAACATATGTCCTGTGTCTATTTGTATATAAACATCTGTCCTGTGTCTATTTGTATGTAAACTTATGTCCTGTGTCTATTTGTTGGTAAACATCTGTCCTGTGTCTATTGGTATGTAAACGTCTGTCCTGTGTCTATTTTTATGTAAAAATATGCCTTTGTGTCTATTTGTATGTAAACGTCTGTCCTGTGTCTATTTGTATGTAAACATCCGTCCTGTGTCTTTTGGTATGTAACCATCTGCCATGTGTCTATTTTTATGTAAACATATGCCTTTGTGTCTATTTGTATGTAAACATCTGTCCTGTGTCTATTTGTATGTAAACATCTGTCCTGTGTCTATGGTATGTAAACATCTGTCCTGTGTCTATTTGTATGTAAACATCTGCCATATAACTCACCAGAGACTACGTGACCGGCATGAAATGTCTGTCCTGTGTCTATTTGTATGTAAACATCTGTCCTGTGTCTATGGTATGTAAACATCTGTCCTGTGTCTATTTGTATGTAAACATCTGCCATATAACTCACCAGAGACTACGTGACCGGCATGAAATGTCTGTCCTGTGTCTATTTGTATGTAAACATCTGCCATATAACTCACCAGAGACTACGTGACCGGCATGAAATGTCTGTCCTGTGTCTATTTGTATGTAAACATCTGTCCTGTGTCTATGGTATGTAAACATCTGTCCTGTGTCTATTTGTATGTAAACATCTGCCATATAACTCACCAGAGACTACGTGACCGGCATGAAATGTCTGTCCTGTGTCTATTTGTATGTAAACATCTGCCATATAACTCACCAGAGACTACGTGACCGGCATGAAATGTCTGTCCTGTGTCTATTTGTATGTAAACATCTGCCATATAACTCACCAGAGACTACGTGACCGGCATGAAATGTCTGTCCTGCGTCTATTTGTATGTAAACATCTGCCATATAACTCACCAGAGACTACGTGACCGGCATGAAATGTCTGTCCTGCGTCTATTTGTATGTAAACATCTGCCATATAACTCACCAGAGACTACGTGACCGGCATGTAACATCTGTCCTGTGTCTATTTGTATGTAAACATCTGTCCTGTGTCTATTTGTATGTAAACATCTGCCATATAACTCACCAGAGACTACGTGACCGGCATGTAACATCTGTCCTGTGTCTATTTGTATGTAAACATCTGTCCTGTGTCTATTTGTATGTAAACATCTGCCATATAACTCACCAGAGACTACGTGACCGGCATGTAACATCTGTCCTGTGTCTATTTGTATGTAAACATCTGCCATATAACTCACCAGAGACTACGTGACCGGCATGAAATGTCTGGAGAGAGCCGGCTTTGGAGAATGCGCCACCCTGAGAGATTACTTCCGGTCAAAGACAGTGGGCAAGGAGGAGGTCAAGAAGGTGATGCAAGAAAAATGTCCCGGCGCCTCGGCCAGCAGTAAGTCCCCAAAATTGTCCCCGGGATTTTTTTTACTGGCGTTTGTCAACCCAAGAAATTCTAAATTATTAGTTTTTATCTTTTAGTCATAATTACTTCCCTTACTTAAAATAACATTTTTAAAACGTGGTTTAAAACACAACGTAAAGGTTGGTTACCAAGTGGTGAATAAGGCGGATGAAGTAGAGTTTACAAGTTTCAGTGACCTCGACATAGGAAAAAATAGTATGCACAGTCGCCTTTACTTTACCGCACCTGAGTCAGGTAACCATTTGAGCTGGGTGGACTCAGTGAGTCAGGTACCCATTTGAGCTGGGTGGACTCAGTGAGTCAGGTACCCATTTGAGCTGGGTGGACTCACTGAGTCAGGTACCCATTTGAGCTGGGTGGACTCAGTGAGTCAGGTACCCATTTGAGCTGGGTGGACTCACTGAGTCAGGTACCCATTTGAGCTGGGTGGACTCAGTGAGTCAGGTACCCATTTGAGCTGGGTGGACTCAGTGAGTCAGGTATCCATCAAATCTGAACCCCCTTTAATTCTAAATAATTTTTCAACCGGCTATCAAAATTATTTCCTTATATTTTGTTTTAAAGTTTAATATACTTTATTCATTTTAATTTCAATCTTAATTATTTCCCCAGATATTGTGGTCCCTTCTACAGTAACGGTGCTAGCCTTTTTAGTAGCTGTGTTACAATATATTTCACACTAGGGCAACTGAATCATGCGTGGATGTAACGTCGTTGTTGATTGGTTGGTAAACGTGGAGGATGACGTCATGGAAGAGTTCACCTGAAGAGTTCACTTTCTAATTTTAGCATGCTGCGCGCGAGTTGGTTTGATTAGATGATAATTGTTTTGTGATTTGGTTATGTATGATTGGAGCTGTTTATGAGTATGGCTGGAAATTTGTATGATTGGAAGATTGAAAATACATACAATTAATAATGCTATATATGATTTTAATGTATTGTTATATAACATGTATACAGCCAATAGCCGCAGCTATTTTGTAAATTAATACCATTTCTATGTAAACACACGATTTTAAAAAAAAGATATGCTAACCTAAAATGCTTGTAGACATGATTTTAAAGATATGTAGGGCTTACATCATATCACGTGACTTGGTATGGATTTTTACATCGTATCACGTGACCTCGTCTAGGTTTTACATTGTACCACATGAAAGCTCGCTGAGTTTCTTTCAGGCATCTATTTTGGATGGATGGAGGAAGTGCCACCCCCCCTCCCCTCCCGGACGTAAAAGAAACCCCCCCCCCCCCCCCGGAAATATAAATGCACCCCTCCCCCCATAGATAAAAATGTCTGATAGAAACCCTCTCGCCGACCCACCAATAAACAACGAATTCAACCAATGTTGGCTAGCGTTAGATTAGTGAAATGTGAAATCTTGTTTTTTTTACTGACAAATGTAAATGTAAATGGATTCAATACTTATCATACTGACTGTTTGTTTGTTGTGACTGGTGAGCAGCTTTTCACCGTGTGTGATGTTTTATGTGGGAGTAGATACCTGACAACATCATAAGATGTCAGTGACAAATGCAAGTGGATGACGTCACTGAACGAGACTGACACACTATAATTTGACATGATTTTTGTGACACATTTCCATAATAAATTTTGTATCATTGAACCACTAAATGCTCTGTTTTTTGGTCTAAAATTATTACTTGTTGTACCTCGTAATAATTTTTTTACAGTTCGTCGTTTTGCATACAAATGTATCTCCGAGTGTTTAGCGTTTCCCTTTAACATTTTTACTCACTACCTGCTCCTAACTACCTAGACAAAACTAAAAACTCACTACCTGCTCCTAACTGCCCAGAGAAAACTAAAAACTCACTACCTGCTCCTAACTACCCAGACAAAAAAAAACTCACTACCTGATCCTAACTACCTAGACAAAACAAAATGTTACAATGAAGAGGTTTTGAGTTTAGACATTGTCTAGGGAAGGTTACGAATGTCATTTAACATGGTTTAAAATTCTAGAAGGGGTGATATTTAATCTTAGTAGCACTTAAACAAAACTGGCACAAATTTATAAAAGTTTATTGTAATTTACATTTTAACGATGAAATATTTGTATTTAATAGCGGTTCGTTGGGCAGATGAGTTCATACGTTTCTTAACCTCGGCATATGAAAGAATGGTGTGGTCGAGCATTATGCCCAGCCGCCTTTACTCTCCCTGAACTTGGGTACCCATCAGAGCTGGGTGGACTCAGTGACGTTTTACTTACTTGAACCCAGATTCGAACTCGAGGCTGTCGGGTTAGTCTAGCGCTCTACCGCTAGGCCACTCCATACCATAAGCCAATAAGAAATAAATTAATGTGTTTTTTACACTTGCAATTAGGCCTTTTTGTGTTAAATTTTTTCGTTAGCACCATATATGACTTGGTATTTACACCAAGTATAATTGTTAGTATTTACAGCAGGTGTGATTTTAAGAATTTACACCAGGTGCGAATTGTTCCAGTTTGTGTGGATCTTGTAACACTCCGTCAAGGAATGATTTAACCCAGCCAAGATGGCGGACAGCCGGTTAATTTCTGACACCTGCGCCGCTGCTGTCGTACTTCCTGTTTTCACCTGCGTTGAGGTGACGTCATCAGCCGCCTTAGTCACGGCCACTGGGGTGTGGTCGTGTTCAACTTCCGGTGTAAAACGTGACGTGTCGTCGTCTGCTTCGTCCTCCTCTGCTAAGTTGTTCCTCTCCGGGGTTGTTGTCGTGTCGTTGACGTCATCATCCTCTTTCTCATCTTCCTCGTCCTTGTCGTAGTCCTCGTTTTCGTTACCTTCGTCTACCGTGTCGTTCACAGCCGGGCCTCTGTGAAGACCCGGATGTTTATCTCCAATCTTTATCCTTAGCTGAGTAAAAGTGTTAAGTGATTTCATTTTTAGATATATTTAGGTCAGGTATGGGAAGTTGTGGGCAGTCTGTCGGTAGTTTGGTGTAAGTCTGTTGTGGCGAAGGTCTGTCCTGTTGTAAGTATGTTTTGTGTATGTCTGTTTCGATGTAGGTCTGTCTTGGTGTAGGTCTGGCTTGGTCTAGTTCTGTTTTGGTGCAAAACTGTTTTGGTGCAAAACTGTTTTGGTGTAAAACTGTTTTGGTGTAAGTCTGTTTTGGTGTAAACCTGTTTTGGTGTAAACCTGTTTTGGTGTAAGTCTGTTTTGGTGTAAACCTGTTTTGGTGTAAACCTGTTTTGGTGTAAACCTGTTTTGGTGTAAGTATGTTTTGGTGTAAGTCTGTTTTGGTGTCTGTTTCTTGAGGCGGTAAAAACCTCGATGTCAATGCTACGTTTACTACCGAGAGAAAACAAAAAACTCACTACCTGCTCCTAACTACCTAGACAAAACTAAAAACTCACTACCTGCTCCTAACTGCCCAGAGAAAACAAATAACTCACTACCTGCTCCTAACTACCTAGACAAAACTAAAAACTCACTACCTGCTCCTAACTGCCCAGAGAAAACAAAAAACTCACTACCTGCTCCTAACTACCCAGACTAAAAACTCACTACCTGCTCCTAACTACCCAGACAAAAAAAAACTCACTACCTGATCCTAACTACCTAGACAAAACAAAAAAAACTCACTACCTAATCCTAACTACCTAGACAAAACAAAAAACTCACTACCTGCTCCTAACTACCTAGACAAAACTAAAAACTCACTACCTGCTCCTAACTGCCCAGAGAAAACTAAAAACTCACTACCTGCTCCTAACTACCCAGACAAAACAAAAAACTCACTACCTGCTCCTAACTACCCAGAAAAAACAAAAAACCCACTACCTGCTCTTAACTACCCAGAAAAAAACAAAAAAAACCACTACCTGCTCCTAACTACCCAGAAAAAACAAAAAACCCACTACCTGCTCTTAACTACCCAGAAAAAACAAAAAACTCACTACCTGCTCCTAACTACCCAGATAAAACTAAAAACTCACTACCTGCTCCTAACTACCCAGAGAAAACAAAAAAAGAAACTCACTACCTGCTCCTAACTACCCAGACAAAACAAAAAAAACTCACTACCTGCTCCTCACAAATTTTTAACTGCTGCTGTAGAGTCTGTATGTTTGACGTCATCGCGCTAATCGCCGGGTTTACAGAGGTGACGTCATCTGGCAAATATAGAAGTTTAGAATATTTCAGACATCAATGTTTCAGGAATCTATAGACGCCAAAGTATAAACTACTTCATTTCTGAAATTCTAGATTACGCACCGCACATGGCGTGCACAAATTCCATAGGAGTATTTACAACATATATATATATATATATATATATATATATATATATATATATATATATATATATATATATATATATATATATATGAATGTATATATCTGTATATCTATATCTATCTATATGGGCATAGCAATGTTTCGAGGTTGTTCCTCAGATCTCGTCTGATCTCGCGAGATAAAACGATAGGTGTCAAGTGTTTTAACGCTCTGAGAGCGTTTAGTCGCCGCCGCTGTGTTATTTACGGTCTGAGTGTGTGGTCGCTATGTTATAGACGAGTTGTCGATAATCTTTCTAACACTAATTGGGCATGAGTAACACCATTATTAAGGTACGAATTATTATCGATATTTGGACGTATAACTTGCTGCAGAAGTCAAATACTATTCTATTAACAAAGGCGGATACTTGAGAACCAGTTAACATCAGTGTTTCTCCGGGAACGAAAAAAAAAAAAGGTATAAAGAAAATATATACTTTAACCAGTGCCCACCCTCCACTCCCACTAAAAAAATATCTGAACGAAACTCGTGTTGAAGTTCGAACTCAAAGTGACACGATTCATTACTTAATAATGAAATAGCAGCAGATTTAAAAACGAGACTGTTTTTGGTATCACTTTTGTACAGACTCGATGCATTTATTGTTACTAGCCACCCCCCCCCCCCCCCCCCCCCAAAGTTTCTTTATTCCGTTGTCGCAACAGTGTAGTGAAACTCACGGAAAATACTAATACTAACCGAGAACAGTCTCAAAATTATTCGATAGTCCCATTAAATATTTTAAAAATGATACACAAAGTTATTATTAAAATATGGTTATAAAAATCTGACTGATTTTTGTTGGAGATTACACAAAATTTTATGTAATTGGTTAATTTAAAAAGGCCAAAATCAATTGTTTGTCTATATTGTTATTACAGAAAATATAAAGAAATAGTTTCATTTAAAAATTTTATTGGCAAAGTTTTGAAAACAAATTACTATGAAGTGGGGTTTTCAGAATATCGATCACAGAATTCCTGTATAGCCAATCAATGTATGTTTTGCGAAAGTGAACTTCAGTTTACAAACTTGTTTTTAAAATTTTAAATAGAAATGTAGCATTAAACTAAAAAAAAATATTTTCAAGTTTTCTCGATTTGCAGCTTTTACAACATTGATCCAAAAAACATTTCTGAATTATTTTCAGGCTTAAGTTTTTGATTTTTTTTTAAATTTTATTTTTAAGGCTGCTAAGATTGCAAAATCTATTTAAAAAAAAATTATCCAAGTCAAAAATAATGATGGAAGGATTCTCGTCAACCCGATAATGTCCATTTTCAATGAAAAACGTCACGCATTAAAAATTAACTTTTGGAACAGCTCCGAATCAAACCTTTAGAGAACTCTAAAGGCTCGTTATGTTCAGCTATTGGTGCGAATTTTTTAATATGCTATGGTTACCTTATAAATAAGGTGGTATTTCATTAATATGGTTGGATCACAATGTAGAGAAAGGTGCTGTTACCTCCTATAGGTGGTTGTGTGACTTTCATCGGCTCTTTCAGTTTGTGATCCTCTGATATGACGTCACTAAGATGGCTGTCATTCATTTGCATATGTATCGTGGTAGGTTTGTGAAACTGGTCGCTGCCGGTATTTGTGACCACCGGTATACTGGTGATATTGGTCACCCCGCGTACACTGGTGACATTGGTGACCCCGAGTACACTGGTGACATTGGTGACCACTGGTACGCTAGTGACCACGAGCAGAACCACCGAGGTGAGAAACAAACCCCACAGCTGGTAGGCCATACTGTCCATCTATACCAGCTACAGCCGTGCGAGTTTTACACGGCTGTGCTGGTCATGTAATAGAGATGATATTGACGATATTGTTACAGATTTTCAACACTTCAAACAACAACAACATCAACATCAACAACAACAATATCAAAAACAACAACAAAAACAACAACATCAACATAAACAAAAGAACAGCATAACTAAACAAAAAATATACTCTATAACTGAAAGAATTTAATAAAATATATTTTTGTTCTATTAGTTCCAACAAATTAAAGACATTTAAAATTGATGAAAATAAATCATAAAATGAAGCATATCGAGATGACCATACCTTTTATAGAGAAAATGTTTTTTTTCTTCTTACAACGACAGCAAGCAAATGATGCGTTGTACGGCAAACTGCTGCCCAGAGGCTGATGGGGGTCCAGTAGAAACCACGTGACCTCCCACGTGCAAGCAGAACACAACTTGTTGAGCAAGTGTAGTAGTTCACTGGCTGCTTTAGACAAACTGTTCTGTGGGAATTTTTCTGTGTGTGGGTATTGTGTGTGGAGGCATATTTATGTGTGTGTGGGTATTTGTGTGTATAGGTATATTTTCTATATTTTCTATATTTTGTCTGGGAATAGATATGTGTAGGGCATATTTATGTGTGTGTGGGGGAGGGGGAATTTGTGTGTGTAAGGTGGGTATTTTGTTAATGTGTGAGTCCGGATATTTTGTGGTTGTGCGGGTGAGGGTATTTTGTGTATGGCGGAGGGGGGAGGGTGGTGTGTGATTGACGGGTGGTGACATAATTCTTGATAAAAGTTCTGAGTAAAACAATGTCATCGTCCCAAAGTAATGTGACATTTAACACAACATGTCATTCCCCCAGTGATGTGACATTGGACATAGCATCACGGTCTTAAAGGGATATGACATTTGACATAGCATCACGGTCTTAAAGGTATGTGACATTTAACATAGCATCACGGTCTTAAAGGGATGTGACATTTGACATAGCACCACGGTCTTAAAGGGATGTGACATTTGACATAGCACCACGGTCTTAAAGGGATGTGACATTTGACATAGCATCACGGTCTTAAAGGGATGTGACATTTGACATAGCATCACGGTCTTAAAGGGATGTGACATTTGACATAGCATCACGGTCTTAAAGTGATGTGACATTTGACACAGCACCACGGTCTTAAAGGGATGTGACATTTGACATAGCACCACGGTCTTAAGGGATGTGACATTTGACATAGCACCACGGTCTTAAAGGGATATGACATTTGACATAGCACCACGGTCTTAAAGGGATGTGACATTTGACATAGCACCACGGTATTAAAGGGATGTGACATTTGACATAGCACCACGGTCTTAAAGGGATGTGACATTTGACATAGCACCACGGTCTTAAATGGATGTGACATTTGACATAGCATTATGGTCTTAAAGGGATGTGACATTTGACATAGCATCACGGTCTTAAAGGGATGTGACATTTGACATAGCATCACGGTCTTAAAGTGATGTGACATTTGACATAGCACCACGGTCTTAAAGGGATGTGACATTTGACATAGCATCGCGGTCTTAAAGTGATGTGACATTTGACATAGCACCACGGTCTTAAAGGGATGTGACATTTGACATAGCACCACTGTCTTAAAGGGATGTGATTTGAGCCTTATGTTTTTACAGCAACATTATAGTCCTAAAGTAACTTGTCATTTAACCATCACAGCACAACAGCAATCTGACATTTTTAGCCAGCATATATATATATATATATATATATATATATATATATATATATATATATATATATATATATATATACATTTATATATATATATATATATATATATATATATATACATACATATATATATATATATATATATATATATATATATATATATATATATATATATATATATATATATATATATATATACTAGCATGACATTTAGCTTGTATAACCCTACAATGTACAGACACTCGACCATCATGTTTTAAAACAGTACAATATTAGAAAACTTTCTCTCAAGTCTATAAAGCTATTACCTATCAAATTATTACATCGCGGGCATTACAAAACAAAACCGACTGGTCGGAATTTATGAAGCGGAATTCAGATTCGCTAAATTGACGAAACATGCTAATTAGGTCACAGGCACTTAGCATTAAGTGTACTCATGAGTGGAATGGACATTAGTGGGCAGATTAATTCAATAGCTGTGATGATGGTAGTTGGGCGAATTATTGCTTTTCGTCGGTAAAGCGTAAGTCTAGATTACATATTACGGTGTAATGACCACTTCCGGTTAGGTTTGTGCTTCAAATGACTCTTTCGGCTAAGGCGTCAGGTAAATGGTGGTGTTGGTTGGGGAGGATTGTGGGTGTGAGTCGGCGTTGGTGTTGTGGTGTGTGGTTTGTGGGTGTCATGTGTTGTGTGGGTCTCTTTGAATGTGTGTAGTGTGTGGATGTCTTTACGTGTGTGGTGCGTGGGTATCATGATGTGTGTGGTATGTGGGCATCTTGGCGTGTGTGTTTGCTGTGTGAACGTCTTGGTGTGTAGTGTTGAGGTGTCATTGTGTGTTGTTTTCAATGTGTGTATGTAGTATGTAAATATCAGTGCATAATTCTATGTGGTTTTCCATGTTTAACGACCGTGCTAAGTTAGACTAAGTTACACTTAGGCAACCAATTTGATGTTACTTTCATAATAAAAATAATAAACACGGATTGGAATAAAAAATGCACTTTTAAATGTGTTCATTTACTAAAACAACGGTCATTTTTTTGTATAACAATTTCTTTAATAATTAAAATGTAGTACACTTTGGTTAATATTTGGTAAATATTTATCAAAAGGCTCATTTTAAATTTGTAAAAAAAAGTGTATAAAATAAAGCTTTAAAAAAAATAAAATGGCTGAAGAACGACCATAAGTGTTTAATGTGCTGTAATGTGTAGGTCGTTGACTTCAAAAGTAAAATCTCGAACATTCTCGCCAATTCTCGGTGGTTGAAGAGAAGGACGGGGAAGGGTTCATTCATCAGGTTAATCGCATTGCGCTTCGAATTGTTGATTCGCATCCTCATCACGTGGACTGATTATATGAGGAAAATAATGAGAATAATGAGGCTAGGGTTAAGGTCAAGGCTAAAAGTAAGAAAAAAAATAAAATAAAATAATAAGACGAAAAATTATAAAACTACTACTTATAATAATATTTTTAAAATAATAATAATAATCAGCATAATAATCATAATTAATAATATTATTATTATTATAATAAATAATAAAAATAAAAAATAATAATAATAAATATAATAATAATAATAATAAATAATAATAATAATATTTATCATTATCATTAATAAAAATATCAGTAATATCAGTAATAAAAATGAAAATAATTTATATATTATATATATATATATATATATATATATATATATATATATATATATATATATATATATATATATATATATATATACATATATATATATATTTATATATATATATATATACATATATATATATATATATATATATATTTATATATATATATATATATATACATATATATATATATATATATATATATATATATATATATATATATATATATATATATATATATATATATATATATATATGTATATATATATATATAAATATAAATATAAATATATATATATATATATATATATATATATATATATATATATATATATATATATATATATATATATATATATATATATATGTGTGTGTATGTGTGTGTGTGTATATACTGTGCATGTGTGTCTGTGTGTGTATGTATGTGTGTAGGTGCGTGTGTGTACAATGACGCCTGTATCTACCCACCAATTAAAACGTTTCCTGAGGGCGACGACCTCCCCCTGTAAAGATTTGATCTCGGCGTCCTTCCATCCTATCTTCTTCTGCATGTGCTCGGCATCCGCCTCCAGCAGGGAGATGTGGTTGCTAAGGAAACGGTAGTCAATGGTCTCCGGCTTGGGTTTACCTGAGCACAGGAAACGTGAGTTGTTGTTGTTGTTGTTGTTGTTGTTGTTGGTGTTGTTGTTGTACGCTTTCAGCATTTGGTGATGGCGTCAGGCGGTATCGTAGTTATGGTCGGTGTGTTACCCTGTTATATAACCTTACCTTCTACCTCACCCTCTCTATGTGAGGGAAGTGGGGGGGGGGATTAAACTGTGTAACTGTCTACGGAAGTATTCCTTAACGCAGAGGCGTAGCGAGGGGGGGGGCGGAGGGGCGGACCGCACCGGTTGACACCATTTAGGGGGGTGACACCAAGGCACTTAATTAAGTAATCAATTCGAGTATTTTAAGAGGTGCACATCGAAAGTTTGAGGGGGGGGGGGTGCAAATCGAAAGTTTGAGGGGGGATGCAAATCGAAAATTGAAAGTTTGTCCCCGGGAAAACGACTGTCTCTTTCATAAGCGTATTCAGCTAACCGTTCTTAATAGTTCTATCGTTCTCACTGACAAAACCGGATCTTAAATCGTTTGAGTCGGGTGTGTGTCTTGACCTCCGCCGAAACACTGGCTCAGGTTTACCTCTGTGTCTAAGACCCGGTTACCTGTGAGACTGTCTAAGACCCGGTTACCTGTGAGACTGTCTAAGACCCGGTTACCTGTGAGACTGTCTAAGACCAAGTTACCTGTGAGACTGTCTAAGACCAAGTTACCTGTGAGACTGTCTATGACCAGGTTACCTGTGAGACTGTCTATGACAAGGTTACCTGTCCGACTGTCTAAGACCAGGTTACCTGTGAGACTGTCTATGACAAGGTTATCTTTGAGACTGTCTATGACCAGGTTACCGGTGAGACACTAAGACCAGGTTACCTGTGAGACTGTCTAAGCCCAGGTTACCTTTGAGACTGTCTATGACCAGGTTACTTGTGACGGCAGACTGTCTGAGACCAAGTTACCTGTGACGGCAGACTGTCTAAGACCAGGTTACCTGTGAGGGCAGACTGTCTGAGACCAGGTTACCTGTGACGACAGACTGTCTAAGACTAAGTTACCTGTGACGGCAGACTGTCTGAGACCAGGTTACCTGTGACGACAGACTGTCTAAGACCAGGTTACCTGTGACGGCAGACTGTCTAAGCCCAGGTTACCTGTAACGGCAGACTGTCTAAGACCAAGTTACCTGTGACGGCAGACTGTCTAAGACCAGGTTACCTGTGAGACTGTCTAAGACCAGGTTACCTGTGAGAATGTCTAAGACCAAGTTACCTGTGACGGCAGACTGTCTGAGACCAGGTTACCTGTAACGGCAGACTGTCTGAGACCAAGTTACCTGTGAGACAATAAGACCAGGTTACCTGTGACGGCAGACTGTCTAAGCCCAGGTTACCTGTGACGGCAGACTGTCAGAGACCAAGTTACCTGTGAGACTGTCTGAGACCAAGTTACCTGTGACGGCAGACTGTCTTAGACCAAGTTACCTGTGACGGCAGACTGTCTAAAACCAGGTTACCTGTGACGGCAGACTGTCTAAGACCAGGTTACCTGTGACGGCAGATTGTCTAAGACCAGGTTACCTGTGATGGCAGACTGTCTAAGACCAAGTTACCTGTGACGGCAGACTGTCTTAGACCAAGTTACCTGTGACGGCAGACTGTCTAAGACCAGGTTACCTGTTACGGCAGACTGCCTATGACCAGGTTACCTGTGACGGCAGACTGTCTAAGACCAAGTTACCTGTGACGGCAGACTGTCTGAGACCAGGTTACCTGTAACGGCAGACTGTCTAAGACCAAGTTACCTGTGACGGCAGACTGTCTAAGACCAGGTTACCTGTGAGACTGTCTAAGACCAGGTTACCTGTGAGAATGTCTAAGACCAAGTTACCTGTGACGGCATACTGTCTAAGACCAAGTTACCTGTGACGGCAGACTGTCTGAGACCAGGTTACCTGTAACGGCAGACTGTCTGAGACCAAGTTACCTGTGAGACTCTAAGACCAGGTTACCTGTGACGGCAGACTGTCTAAGCCCAGGTTACCTGTGACGGCAGACTGTCTAAGACCAAGTTACGTATGAGACTGTCTAAGACCAGGTTACCTGTGACGGCAGACTGTCTGAGACCAAGTTACCTGTGAGACTGTCTAAGACCAGGTTACCTGTGACGGCAGACTGTCTAAGACCAGGTTACCTGTGACGGCAGACTGTCTAAGACCAGGTTACCTGTGACGGCAGACTGTCTAAGACCAGGTTACCTGTGACGGCAGATTGTCTAAGACCAGGTTACCTGTGACGGCAGATTGTCTAAGACCAGGTTACCTGTGACGGCAGACTGTCTAAGACCAGGTTACCTGTGACGGCAGATTGTCTAAGACCAGGTTACCTGTGACGGCAGACTGTCTAAGACCAGGTTACCTGTGACGGCAGATTGTCTAAGACCAGGTTACCTGTGACGGCAGACTGTCTAAGACCAGGTTACCTGTGACGGCAGATTGTCTAAGACCAGGTTACCTGTGACGGCAGACTGTCTAAGACCAAGTTACCTGTGACGGCAGACTGTCTAAGACCAAGTTACCTGTGACGGCAGACTGTCTAAGACCAAGTTACCTGTGACGGCAGACTGTCTAAGACCAAGTTACCTGTGACGGCAGATTGTCTAAGACCAGGCTACCTGTGACGGCAGATTGTCTAAGACCAGGTTACCTGTGACGGCAGACTGTCTAAGACCAAGTTACCTGTGAGACTGTCTAAGACCAGGTTACCTGTGACGGCAGATTGTCTAAGACCAGGTTACCTGTGACGGCAGACTGTCTAAGACCAGGTTACCTGTGACGGCAGACTGTCTAAGACCAAGTTACCTGTGACGGCAGACTGTCTAAGACCAGGTTACCTGTGACGGCAGATTGTCTAAGACCAGGTTACCTGTGACGGCAGATTGTCTAAGACCAGGTTACCTGTGACGGCAGACTGTCTGAGACCAAGTTACCTGTGACGGCAGACTGTCTGAGAGCGAAGAGACCTGACGTCGGACACCTGCTGCTGATACCTCTGAGCTTCCTCGACAAGCGATCGATGTCTTTGAGCAGGGAATACCTGCAGGTAACATAAGGTAACATACAGGTAACATACAGGTAAAATACAGGTAACATACAAGTAACATACAGGTAACATACAGGTAACATACAGGTAACATACAGGTAACATACAAGTAACATACAGGTAACATACAGGTAACATACAGGTAAAATACAGGTAACATACAAGTAACATACAGGTAACATACAGGTAACATACAGGTAACATACGTTAGTAGTATAAGCAGGGAATACCTGCGGGAACAGGTAACATACGTTAGAAGTGAAAGCAGAGAATAACCTGCGGTGACAGGTACCATACGTTATCCGTTTTATTACCTAATACCTGCGGTAACAGGTAAGTAACATACGTTTGTGGTGTGTGCTACACAATGAATCTTTTTGCACCACTTGACAACTGCACTTTATTATGTAAGGTCTCGCTTACAGACCCAACAATCCATATAAAGTAGAGTTCATGTTTCTGGATCTCATCACTAAGCTCAACCGCCTTTACTTTTCCCTAGCTTTAGTCAAATGCTCATAAGAGCTGGGTGGACTAAGGGACATCCTTCAGAGATACGAAGTCTGGATCTCGGGCTGGCAGTTGATGGCTCTACCACCGAACCACGCCATCCCTGCCTGTACCATTTGCACCAACACCCGCCACCTACTTGTATCTCTGCTCCTGCATGACGAACTTCTGCACGCCGTGCAGCAGGGTGAAGTTCATCGTCTTCTTGTCGTGGAACAGCAAGGTCAAGGCCTTCTCCTTGTCGCTCTGCATGTGGGCCAGCTTGCTTTCCATCTCACGGAACGCCTGGGTTGTCAGCGGTCAATTTCAGGGGTTGTCAGTGGTCAATTTCAGGGGTTGTCAGTGGTCAATTTCAGTAGTTGTCAGTGGTCAATTTCAGGGGTTGTCAGTGGTCAATTTCAGTAGTTGTAAGTGGTCAATTTCAGGGGTTGTCAGTGGTCAATTTCAGGGGTTGTCAGTGGTCAATTTCAGTGGTTGTCAGTGGTCAATTTCAGGGGTTGTCAGTGGTCAATTTCAGGGGTTGTCAGTGGTCAATTTCAGGGGTTGTCAGTGGTCAATTTCAGGGGTTGTCAGTGGTCAATTTCAGGGGTTGTCAGTGGTCAATTTCATTACACACGTCGTTACACATCGTTACACATCGTTACACATCGTTACACATCGTTACACATCGTTACACATCGTTACACAGACAGCCTCAGCTACACAGGGTTGTCATTGGTCAATGTCATTACACACGTTGTTACACATAGACAGTCTACTACACAGTAGTGTTACACACGTCTTTACACAGAAAATCTCAACTACACAGGGTTGTCAGTAAACATGGCTTTACACAGACAACTCCAACCACACAGGGTTGTCGGAAAACATGGCTTTACACAGACAACCCCAACCACACAGGGTTGTCGGCAAACATGGCTTTACACAGACAACCCCAACCACTAGGGTTGTCAGTAATCATGGTTTTACACAGACAACCTTAGGCACACAGGGTTGTCAGTACACACATCGTTACACACAATCTACTATAGAGCAGTGTTACACACGTCTTTACACAGACGAACTCAACAACAAACACTTCTTTACACAATCAACTACGCAGTAGCGTCAAACACGTCTTAAACAAACCCATCTACACAGTACTGTTACACACGTCTAGACACAGACACTCTGTTACACAGTGGGGTTAAACACGTCTTTACACAGATAATCAAAACAAACTATTCATTAACTATCATAAACACACATTTACTCAAGCACACGAAGGTAAAAAAAAAACACATAACCCTTATCTTACTCCCCCCCCCCCTGCGGATAAATACATTGTTAAATCATTCCATTTCTGTGCATCCTTTTAGTTTCTTGATCTTAGTCAAGATGTTTTCACTCGTCCAAATGTTCACAAATTTGACACTATTTTATTTAATTTCTATTCAAAACTTGTCATTATTGTCACTAACAACATCTTATTTCGTATCCCTTTCCCTCAATGGGTGTGGCTACTAGATCTATCCCCTTTTTTTCAAGGAAAACGGCTGTCTATTTCCACAATGAAAATACTGCATCTTTGTTCAAAACTAAAATGACACGCATCTTTCATAAAAAGAAAAAACACACCTCTTTTTCCCTAGGAAATGGCATGTTTTTCTCTCCAAAAAAAATGACCACTAGGGAAAATGACTTTGCATTTTACAAAAACAAAACGACGTGTCTCTTTCCCCAAGAAAATTACCTCTCTCTTCTCCATAGGAAAATGAATGCCTGTCTCCCCATTGAAAGTCCCCGCCCCCCAAAAAAAAAAAGCTGACCTGTTGAACCCGGACGACCTTTGACTCTACACTCCCAATGGACGGCTGCTGCTCCGGCTCCCGTTCACTGAAGCTCTCGCCCAGGATGTTGGAGAGCTTCTGGTTGATGGTCCACAGGGAGTTCTCGAAGAAGCTAAATCTGGGGGGGGGGGGGGGGGGGGGGTAAGGCTTCAGTCATGGCAGCCTGTGGTGTGGTGGTGTGCGTATGTGTGTGTGTATGTTTATGGGAATGTGCAAGTGTGTGAGTGTGATTGTGTGTGTTTGATTGTGATTGTGTGAGAGTGTGTGTGTGTTTGTGTGATTGTTAGTGTATGTGTGTGTAATAACAAGACACCGAAAAACAAGGGATTGATAAAGGGCAAAACAAGGACATAATAGGAAAAAAAGGTCACTTCAAGACCAACGTTGGACCAATGCTAAATTAAAGAAAGACCTATGTTGGACCAACCTCGCACGACCCTATGCTGGACCATCATCGTACAGTCTTTGTTTGAACCAACATCGAAGATCTATGTTGGACCAACAACGTAGAACCTATGTTGGACCAACATCGTAAGACCTATGTTGGACCAACATCGTACGACCTATGCTGGACCAACCTCGTACGACCTATGCTGGACCATCATCGGACGGTCTATGTTAGACCAACATCATACGATCTATGTTGGGACCAACATCGTACGATAGTTGGTCCAACATCGGATGGACTTCTATGTTGGACGGTCTATGTTGGACCCAACATCGTACGACCTTTGTTGGACCAACATCGGACCAACAAGCGACCAACCTGCTGGGGCAGTTTGTGCTGCATGTTGGAGTTGTCGTTGACCTGTGTTGGACTGAGGCACCGCCCACTTTTAGACTGGTGACGCTTGGTGAAGCTGATCACCTGGGTATCCACACGAGAGGTGTCTTTACAACAGGTGGTTGGCATGGTGGGTTGTCACAGGGGGTGTCATAATGGGTTGTCACAGTGGGTGTCATAATGGGTTGTCACAGTGGGTTGTCATAGTGGGTTGTCACAATTGTTTGTAATTGAGGGTTGTCATAAACCAAAACGTCGATACAAGCCCTACCAAACCCAACCCTAGCCACAAACCCAACCCTAGCCACAAACCCATACCCTAGCCACAAACCCAACCCTAGCCACAAACCCAACCCTAGCCACAAACCCAACCCTAGCCACAAACCCTAACAAACCCAACCCTAGCCACAATCCACAAACCCTACCCAACCTAACCCTAGCCACAAACCACAAACCCTACCAAACACAACCCTAACCACAAACCCAACCCTAGACACAAACCCTACCAAAGCCAACCCTAGCCACAAACCACAAACCCTACCAAACCCAACCCTAGCCACAAACCCAATCCTAGCCACAAACCCAACCCTAGACACAAACCCTATCAAACCCAACCCTAGACACAAACCCAACCCTAACCGCAAAGCCTAACAAACCCAACCCTGGCCACAACCTCAAACCCTACCAAACCCAACCCTAGCCACAAACCCAACCCTAGCCACAAAACCACAAACCCTACCAAACCCAACCCTAGCCACAAACCACGAACCCTTACATAATCTCGTGGCCTCACCTCCTGATTCATACAGTTGATGTCTAGAGAGAGGGAACGGATGATGTCGTTTTTCACGTTCAGTTCGGCCGTCATCTGTTTGATCTGAGACCACAAAAATACGGCGTGTAAGTCTCGGGCTCTCTCGCTTCAAATTGTAAATCTCGTTAGACAGGGATATATAAACATGTTCGAACCAATTAATTTATTTGAATAATATTCTCTCATTCATGCCGGCTATTTGTTTCTAGGCCTCGTTTCAAGATTTTTAAAATAATATGTTAACATGAGAACCCAAAATGCAACAATAATATTTTTTTTTACTAATAATATAATCAAATTAAGTGCCTATGCTATTAATAATATTATTTTAATATTGTAGCTACGTTTATGACACTTGTTACGGATTCGAAAAAAATAATGTCAAACTGTAAGCTTCTTTTTAAAAAAATCACAATTAAATGTAAGCTATATTTTTCTTTAAGCTAGCCTACATATTGTAGTCTATCATTATCCTTGTTTACGGTTCTAAATAACAACAGCGGAAGTGACTTTTTTTTAAAAAAATTGTACCTATTCAATAGAAATATTAACATTTGGTTTGAAAAATACTAGCTGGCAAGTACGAGAACGAGATGTTGTGACGTACTTACGAGTTCCATTGAAAGCAACTTGTATTTCTATACTACTTTATTTGTAACGATCAAATAGGGCCCTTAATGTGGGCACCCGGTGGTATGCGGTCAGTGTGGTATTATAACCAGAGACGTAGCGATGGGGGGCATGGGGGGGGGGGGGGGGGGCAGGTGGGGACATATGTCCCCGGGCGCCGACCTTAGAGGCGTCAAAATGGGTTGAAAAAACAAATTAAAATGTCATTTTAGCTGCATTTTTGCAGTTTGAGGGGGGGTGGTGCAAATCGAAAAGTTGAGGGGTGGAGGGGGGGTGTGCAAATAGAAAATTTGTTCCCGAGGGGGGGGGGGGGGGGCGCCAAATTGAAAGTTTGTCACCGGGCGCCGGGAAGCGTCGTTACGCCTCTGAGTATAACACACATCACTAAACAACGCTGGTCTACACATGGCCAGATTTCTTGAGCTCACCTTCTGCTCGTACTCTGCCATGTTGGACTGGATTTCTTTCTCCGTCATGTAATCGTCGGCGCGTTGCTAGGGAAACAAAAGGGTTAAACATGTCAAAAGGTCAAGGCCAATAATGTGTCAGAGGTCGTCCATACATATTGGTAAGAATGGTTTAGCAAATATATGCACAAGACAACCCATATCACCACCTTAAAAAAAACAATTCCACCCTTCCCAACGTCATATTCCACCCTATGCAACAAAAAAAAAACAACAACATAAAACAAACAATATAACCTATATATCCAACCAAAACAAAAAAAAATATATTTTATTTTT